CTATCAATTTATGTAATGGGATATTGTTAGCCATTACAAATGAAACTACTTTACTTAGAGTATCCAAAAATGAACGAATGGTTATAATTAATATAGATCTTTAGAAATAATCAGTTCTTTATTTCTACTCGACAAATTCGGATATCTTACTGAATATTTATAACCAGTTATTCGTAGCTAAAAGACTGAATATAATTTGAAAGCGGTTTTTCTTCACTAACACCGACGATAAGTTGTATAAGGCTCAACAAGAACCCCGAAGATTCGTCGATCAATACAGTATGAATTTATGGATGTGGAATACTCAAAAGTGCCGAATTCGAAAAAAAAACTATCCAGTTATTATTAATTCTCACTAGTTTTCAGATGATAGTGAAAATTATCATCCACAAAACTTAGCTAACAGAGAAAACACTAAATATTATTTCTTTATACAGGTTTTTTTCTGGATATTTAGGGATATGTCAAAAGAGTGACAGTTAAATTTCATGTTGGGTGGCAATACAAAAGATATAGTTTATAAATTATGAATCAAAATGGTTAATATTTGATTCAAGTGAACTAAATCTTTACAGTTATCAACAGAATTCGCATCATATATATGTTTAATCATATAAATACACATACCTTCTTTTACTTATCATCATATGATATTTATTCCGATATTTATGTTTAGCGGGTAAATAGAAAAAAAAACGAGTAGATGAAAATTAAACATGTCTGGAAATGCATCTTATTAATCGGAAAAAATATGTTAAAAACAGGGACTACTTTAACTATTCTATGTTTATATACATAGACAGTGATATATGAACAATACAAAATAATAATCATAATTGAATTTGTAGTTATGTCCTGACATAGATATTTATTCAGAACGAAGATGTAATCGACAAAACTTGAACAAAAAAAACAAAATGTATACAAGTACAAGTGAATGTAAAAGAAACAAAGTAAAGTTGATGTAAGAAGAAGAAGGAAAAGATGATTTAAAACAAGTATCAATATGATGAAAGATATTAGTTGATATTTAAAATAAATCCAGAAGAAAACGAACTAAAAGGTATATATATATATATATATATATATATATATATATATATATATGTCACAATGTATAGCGGTAAAGTACATAGAACGATTAGTTGGATTGCCAAACAACTGTAAACAAATTATTTAAGAATATTTACATTTCACAATGATATTTTAAATGTATAATATGAATATGTTTATTACTATCCATCAATCAAATACAGTTAATGTTTAAAATGAAAAGAAGGAAAGTGAAGAAATATACAACTGGGAATATATAGGATAGAAATTTTGCACAGAAAAACAACTAACTGTTTAACAAGTAGACAGGTGTTAAGATTATACTTTAATGACAAGGTAATATACAAAATATATGTAAACATCTCATGACATGTTTAGTTTCATTACTTTTTCCCCTCTCACTTTAACTACTGTACAGTTGAAAAATTTGTCACATAAGAGTAAAAATTTGATTCTGTTTATGAAAAAACAAACAAATGAATGAATGAATGATTTATCAATGAAGATAATAAATAAATAACTGAACTACTCTATATTTATTATCCTTAGTTTAGTATCTCATTTTCTATTCATTATAATTAATAAACCTTTAAGGTAGAGATTGTAAATAGAAAATCATCACTTAGAAAGAATGTTTATCTTTTATTTATCTCATAGATGTGAGAAGAAAATAACATTTACAGTAAGGTATCTATTCTACATAAACATTAAAAATAATAGTAAATTTAAAGAGAACTTATTTCAATTATCAATATTGAAATAAATCTTGTAGTGAGACAAGTTAAAATAAACAGTTTTATAATTGTTAATAATGATTTAATTAAATTTAAAGGTTATTTTCATTATGGACCCATTTATTTCTAAAAGCCCATAATAAAACTAGGGCAAAAAATATGGGAAATTTTTTTTAGATATTCCTAGATAATGGAGATTATTGATGGTATATGAGATCCAGGTAAAACCCTTTTATTCTCTCAGTTAAGAATATTCAAACAATCAATCAAAATCTAGTTGCAAATTCACTCATTTAAAGCAACCACAACAATGTCAATCTGAATGATAATAGGTTCATTTTCGAACCTTAAAGTATTGAATTAATCACCATGTGTTAAATCTATCGAAGCATCAAAATCACCCAATTGAGATACGCTCAAAATCGAAGTTCAAAAAGCAACGATTTGTCTCAAATAGTTATTTATCAGTCAGCTACAACGTAGGACCAGGCACATATATACATCGGTCCAGGTTGCAATACCTCATTAGCACAGCAAGATGAACACCGGATTCATGGGAGTAGTTAGGTTAAAGGTGGTAATATATAGGAGAAAGATTGCATATAACGATACAGTACCGGAATAAAGAATTAGTTCGTAGAAAGAAAGATATGAAGTGATTTTAATCTCTTAGATTAAGGGAAGACAGGGAGTGTATGCACCGACACCATTGTGACCGATTCTGAGCCATGTCACCAAGAGTCTCCAACCATTGGTTACGATAGTCACGCGAACCCCAACCAAGTAGTCTGCATCTACCAACATGGCTCAGACTAGAGGTTAGTGTCTTCAAGCACTGATGCCACGTTTTGGTTTGGCCACCTCTAATTCTCTTCTAACCATCTCTAACACCTGTTAGCATTGCACGACGTGGTAATCGGTGTTCAGGTATACGTAACACGTGGCCATAGTTATTTATAGAAAAACTAGTTACAAACCTTAACTTGTGAGGTGTATGTGGCATTTACCGCATCGTTTTGTCTAAAATAGAAATGCTTCGATAGTGCAAAATGACAGCCTTTTGGTGTAAGAGTAAGCAATATGAAAACTGTTGCGTTTAAACAAGGGTTAAAAGATTGCACAAAATCGCGAATAACTGAGATAAGGTACAATACAAGAAATGTTATAAGTATATGTAAATATTTCAGAATATTACAGGACAAACTTGCGTAATAACATACACGTAGAAACTGCTAATACAACTGTTTACTGAATATTGATAAGTAGTATAAAACAATAGACAAAAGAGTTGAGAGGAAGTGAATATGGACAAAGAACGTAAAACCATGCATTTAAAATGTTCATCGTTAATAAGTTATGGTGAAGGATGCATCGTCTAATCAGCATTGTGATATTCGGTGTATCACTAACATGCATTCGTCAACAATAGGAGCCACTTTAAACTGACATTATTTTGTTTTTAAATAATGAAGATTAGTAACGGTACTTTTAATTGAAGTAGGTTTTGATATTATCTTGGTGACAATGATTGCTTTGCAACCAAAACGTCTGACTTAGAGAATACGTTATAAACAGAAACAAGCTTAATTTTGTCAATTTTAAGAGTAGATTTTACTACGTAACCATAATTTCTATCCAAATTTTGAAGGCTAAGTACTATCACGTATATAATTTATCCCATTTTCGGAATACACAGAAATACGTGACACTGATTTCTTATGGACACGAATCTCAATTAGTAAAGATTGACAAATACCTCAGTAGAAAAGATGCGATTGGATGTTGTTGTCCTGCGACCAACAAGTCCCCATCGGCCACCTAAACGACTCTCTTCTGTGCCTAGACACCCGACCTGAGCATTCAAGTCTCCGGCTAGTACTGCAATATCTGTCGAACGAACTTTCCGAAAAAGAACAGTTAACTGGTGGTAGAACTCATCCTTGATTGCATCCGGGCTGCAATCTGTGTGCGAACGTTCAAGGCAGCCAGTGTGAATGCTGCACGTGGTTTCAGAAAAACTGCTTCAGTATTCGCATTTGCTGGTAGCATACAATTTTCAACCAAGCAGTGACTCGAGAACGTTGAAATAGAACAGAGTTTCCACCATAGGCGAGCGGCTGTATTCATCGAAAAACAAGGATACACATAGTGGAAATAAAAGTGTTATAACTTGTGAATCTGTGCCTGTTTATTGTATAACTGAAAGTAGGTAGACAGTCTTAAGGTCACTTTAGCGTCGCGCAAACGTCGTCCATAAACTATAGTCTCACCAATTAATGATTAAGATGAATTGACGTTTGGAAATTAGTGTTAGATTTTTCGGTGAATAAACATATGTATCAGAGGTGACATCTATGAATAAAATAAATAATACATACAACACCATTAAGTAACAGGCAACTTCAAGTGAGAGAAATTAGTTTGGAATATTACCGTTTTCGGTCTTGCCTAAATATATAAATTTACAGTCAGGTAAACTAACGACTAGACTATACAACAGACTTAAAATATAAAGTACTGAGCAAGTTAGCTGCTCAGTTATGTTAATACATATTTAAACAAGTGTTGCGAAACACAGCAGAATTAGGTTCGAGATTGGTAGCAATACATATAATATAATTTTTTAGCACAGCAAACAGACAATATATATAAGCCTCCGACTATTAGTAAACTTAAAGAGGCAAAAGCTAACTACAAGTGAAGAGCGGAAAAGATCTTATACGTTAACTCGAGGTATTTAAGAATGGCTGTTTAGTTTTAGAAGTTAGTTAGAATCTGACACCTTCGCATAGTCCCAGCTGACCGATCCCAATCTAAGGGAAAGATATTCTCTCGCGGTAGCCAGAACAATCAACTTGAATAAAGTAGTGTTTGAAATCACCAAAATCTCAAATAAAGTTCCTGAACAGCAAACTCAGGAAAATCAAACTGATTTCAAAAGTGGACGAGCAGATATACGTCAATTGATTATGTTATACTGTGCTCTGAAACAGAGGGATGCTTAAGAACGCCTGGAAATTCTTTTGATAGTGCTTTTTAGAGAAAGGCGTATCACAAAGATACATAACCTTATGAAGGGTGTTTACATGAACAACATTATTCGAGTCGAAGCTTATGGCAAACTTTGGTAAAATTGGTATCCTCAAGCAGTCAATTTAAAGAAAATATTTCAAGTCTACGCATAATTACACTTTATTGGTTGATGGAACAATGTGACATGTACACAACAGAACTCATGAAAGTTGTAGGTGGATAGGAAATAATTAAATACAAGCTTGATTTTTAAGAATACCAAGATATATATATATAAAGAGATAACCAAGTAGTAAATACAAGGAAGGAAAAACTAGAACACAACGTAGTCACTATTATCATATTCGTATAAAAATATAATCATCATTTTCTAAATTATAAAATCCTATTTCACGTGTATCTACATCCAACGGTATTTCAGTGTTAACAATACCACGATGCCTTCCACTTTGTGCATATAATTCAAACAGTGTTTTTGGTGATAAACAAAACAATCGTCTAATCATCATACGTAGATGGTTAATAGTCATTTGACTAGGTATTTGTTTTTGAATTCGATCGTTTTTGTCCATTGGCGATGATGATCGACTGCTAGACTTGTTTGTTGCGCCATTGTTCTTGTTATGTTGTAATATAAAGATAAGAGATAGAAGACCAGCTTTAATTGAGCGGTTAACTGGCTAAAATTAGATAAGTAGATATGTAAACAACAAAGATAACAGAGATTTGACAAAAAAGAAAGCAATCAAATCTTATTGCTCATTTATGACCTTAATATTGCTCTCAGATGTTGATATCTATAACCAAACTAACAATTAGATTCAGGTAGATACACTTGGACAACAATTACAGATGAATAAGTGGTTGGTTCATACTTTTTCATGAGTGATCTGTCACTGAAAATGTTCCAGCTCAGTTATTTTGACACAGTTCAGATCTATAGAAATAAGGACGTTTATGATAAATTATAGTGTTTACTGAGTGCAATAATGCAGGAATATTGACAGTTTTCTCTACAAAACCAACCCGGGAAATACTTATGTAGCAATAAAAAGAACTTCAATCAGGAAATCATAATAAAAATATATTAATTTAGATTGTCTGAAGGCTGATAACAGCAGAAACTAGAGAAAGGTATAGAGACATTGGCGTATGTATCAACGTCAAGGTTGGACTTGATAGTTTCAAATAAATAGAGTATTGAGTAGAAAATTTACAACAATTTTTTGGTGTTGTGACCGAACGAGTAGAAATATTGTATTTCGGACGGTTCGTGACAATGTCAGACGCTTCTTTAGAGTAAACGACAAAACGAATTGAATTAACACAAGATTTAATAATACAAAGAAAACAATGCAGGATATTTTTGGAGCTAATGATACTATCCTATTAATCAAATCGAAGTAAGTGAAACGGTCATTCATTCAGCTACAACGTTGGACCAGGCACGTATGTGCATCGGTCCAAGTTGCCACACATCATTAGCACAACAAGGTGAACAACAAATTCATAGAAGCAGTTAATTCAATGGTAATAATATATAAAAAAGATTGTGTATAAGGAATACAGTACAGTAAGAAAGAATTAGTTCGTAGAAAGAAAGGTATAAAGCGATTTAAATCTCACGGTTTAAAGGAAGACAATGAGTGTATACACCCACGCCATTGTGATCGATTCTGAGCCATGTCACTCAGAGTCTCCAACTATTGGTTATGATAGTCACGCGGACCCCCACCAAGTAGCCTGCATCTACCATCATGACTCAGACTAAAATTTAGTGACTTTATGGATTGATGCCACGTTTCGATTTGGCCGCCCTCAACTTTATTTCAACTGTCTCCAACACTAGTCAGCATTGCTCGCCCTATACAGTATACGCGCTCCTTAATTGATAGACAGATATCTCACCTTCACCATAGGTGACATAAGTTAGCAAAAGCTAAATGCGTATTTGAATCTGTGCTGAGACTTGGTCAGACACCAACCCATTAGGGATGATCAGCCTTCCAAGATAAGTGAAGTTGTTGACGTGTTCGACTACTTCACTCCCTATCCTTAGTTCAGGTTTTGACGCAGACCAGTCGTGGAGTAACAACTCGCATTTAGAGGGGTAGAAGCTCTTCCCAAACATTCTGGCATTGTTTCTCAGTGCTACCGAAAAACTCTGCATTTTATCAGCGTCTTCATCAAATAGGACTATGTCATCTGCGTATTCTAAGTCGATAAGTGGACCTCCTGGTAGGAGATAAATACCCGAAAATTCAGTCGACGAGAAAGTTATTTCCAACAGTAGGTCCATGATGAAATTAAACAGAAACGAAGATAGTGGACAGCCTTGACGGACACCACTTGAGGTTGCAAAATCAGATGACAGTTCGCCATAAGCTCTCACTCGACTAGTAGTGTTCGAGTAAAGAGCCTTTCAATGACAGACACTGCCACAGAATCTCGCGGTCTACCGAGTCAAATGCTGCTTTTAAGTCAAGAAAGACCACCATTGTCGGACGCCGATACGCATGCCTGTGTTCTAGAACCTGACGAATGGTGAATATGTGGTCGATGCAGTCACGACCAGGTCTGAAGCCAGCCTGATTTTCTCGTGTTTGCAGTTTACGTGTCTTAGTTAGGCGTCTGATAATTATCAAGGCTAGTATTTTAGATGCTATATTAGTCAAACTAATCTCTCTATGGTTATTGCAGGATGATTTTGATCCTTTCTTATATATAAGGACGATCAGTGATTGTGACCAGACTTAGAAGAAATTCACTGGTTTTTTGTAACCTTATGGTTTAAATCACTAATAGATGTCACTGCTGTTTGTATATCTTTCCAAGCAACATCTAGGTCAGCCTCGTTTTTAGAACTACCGAAGTGTGACCTCAGTTGTTCCTAAAATCTACTTTCGGCTTTCAGTAGGTGAAGCGGGGTTCAAGAACCCATTGAGTGAAAAAAAATACCTAAGAGATTTGGAAGGAACTTAGAAAAACAGAGTAGTCGCTAAAATATTCTAATAGAAAACGTCTTGTGATGAAATCATAGACAAGTTATTTCAGTAGATAAGGTGTGTGACGTAGCTTGAAATGAAAACTGATTGTGCGCTTAGTCAAACGGAAATTTCTGAAACCAATTATGTAATCAAATAACTAAAGTGTTAGATATTTAGTTCATATTTAAGCAAAAGATTTACAATTCCCACACAGATACATTACTCCGGGAAGTGAAGAACTTTTAAATTTAAACACATCGAAAGTAATTCATCATTAAGTTATTTCAAACAGCTGAATTATTACTTAGGAATAAAAGTTGCATGTCCTTGAATTTACATCCTTATTCTAAGCGAAATAACACTTTCTTGCAACTAAATTCGGTACTAAACACAATTTCGATACCATCATAAACACTTCAGAACAATTAAACGGTTTGGTTGTTCATTGAAGCTTCTAAACTATCCTGTATTTCATTGATCTCCCCTTGTTTTGGACGACGGTGATCTTTGAACTAGTTAGCCTAGTTCATCTTCCTTATTTATCCCCCACACTTAATTTTTGTGCGGTCAACTTAGTTATTTTGTCACATAGAGAAAACAATCTGGGAACAAGTCAAAACTAATAACATGCTACCTTGGTTTCTCCAATTTCAGGAGCTCCATGTTTATCACAAAGTCTGGCGAAAACCGGATGCAGTTTGTAGAATTCCTCCAAAAGTTTGACATCGTTATTTTGCTTACTATTTTTATCGCTTTTACAACAGTTTAGCCAGCTAGCTCCATAACGTTTTAAGTAGTCCAATTCAGATCCGCGGCGCTCTTCAGGAGTAATCTCAACACGGTCTAACATTTTAAGATTTGGCAAACGAGCAATGACTTCCTGACGAGCGGTTTCTATACTAAAACAGAAAGAACATATAAAAAAGTGTTATGAAAACAAAACCCATTTATTACCGGTTGAAATACTAATACTACAATAGTAAACGAGGGGTGAACAAATGTGAAATCACCTTTCTTATTATAAAGCTATGAACACATCAAACTTTACAGCCTTACAATAGACAGGTGAAACTAGACGAATAACAACAAACAGTAATGAACTTTATACAGAATTGATGGGTGTAATTGATTTTTGACGGTTTTATGGATGACTACATAAATTGTTTGTAAAATAAAAAGAGAGTGAGGATATATGGAGGTGGAAAACAAATAAAAGCTAGCTGTTACGTTTGTAGATATTGCCTCTAAATACGATTCTTTGCATAAGGCTGTATTCTGGAACTACTTACTGAAAGTAATTGCATTTGATAAATTTACCAACATTTAGATAATCCCGGACAAAGACATTCATTTAAGATAGAATGGTAACACAACTTTTTCTCACTTCTTCAAATCAACGGTGAAGCTGGTGGGGGCTATCCGATCTCATTATTAATGAAATTCAGGGAAAAACTGAGGAGATTAAGGTGCAGTGGTGCCAATCCGTTACCCAGAAGAGTGATTTTTAACACTGAATGTGCGGATGTTACCATCTTGTTGTGCGATTGGATGCAAGGTACCCGAATTACATTCAATCACTTGATGACCACTGACCCATAATGGATGCACTTGGATAATCGAAGTGTATAGTTCTTCCACAGGATTAGAAGGAAGTTGGGCTTGGATTGACTCTTGTTCGCGAGGCGTAAGAAATGGACGAGTGCACGCTAAATAGTAGTTGCATAAGTGCTGGTATAACAAACCAGATTCATTCACACGTAACGAAAGCAACCCTAGAGCGATCTAAATTACCATTGAAGTTATAACGTTAAGCTGGTCATTAAAGCCCGAGTGGACAATAGTGTGGTGTTTTCTACTTATGTTGACTGATATAAATAGTATGTAACATCAGACAGAAGTGGAATGCCTATCAACAGAAGGTTGAGTTGAAGCGAACAGGAATATAAACAAAGAGCAATTGCAGTAACAACAGAATTGAAAGGATCATAAAGCATATAAAGGACAAGTGAATGATGTGCAAATAATGTATATAATATATGGTTTCCATAATTTACCAAGACACTGCAATTTTCCGTTAAACAATAAGTTGTTCATCCCCAACATGTCTTCGTTCACTACACTACCAATTCAACTCTATGCTTGTGAACTTTAATTTCAAAGAAATGAATATTTTAAACCACGATTAACTTCATCTCAGAGAAATCGCTCACGTTTGCCCACAACAGTGGGTAAGCAATTCTTAGAAGTAATAATTTGTTGGTGACGAGCGCCTAGGTGAAATAAGAAATATCATGTGACTCTTAGTAACGAAAGCCACTTCCAAACACATATCAATATAGAAGCCGATGGTGATCCAGCTAAAGTTATCTTCCTGTTCTTTGAAAAACAGAAAAATATTTATTAGCGAGAATGAGATCTATTTCGGTTTGTTTTTAATTGGATACGCTTCTTCTTATACTTCCATTCTTCACTTACTTTTAAGAGAAAGTGTCAGACCAATTTGTGTGACGGACTATTTTACCTCACTGAACCAAGTATTTTGTAGATATTATTTACTAAGCGATTGAACAATATGGATGTTTGGTACAACTAGAAGCTATTAAGTTTTTATTTTACGGAGTAACTTGATACTTAAATGATTATGGATTCGGGCAAACTCCAAATATGGCAGCTTTTTAAATAGAACAGGATTTCACATAATTTCTATGAAGATCATTAAGTGATTTTGAATAGTGAAATATGTAAAGGAATATTTATTTTGCAATGTACTGTAAACAACTCAATGGTGGACAAGTTGTAATAAACATTAAATTGTTTTGGAAAATGTGTATCATTATTTATTAATGCGTATATGCTATAACTGTGACGGCAGCAGATTAGAAGACAAAGAATTATCGATCGGACCAAAGACGCACAAACACGTAGAACGGCCTAGGGTTCGGATTGGTCCCGCTTCCCTGTCTAACCCAGCCAGTTGAGTCCAGAACACAAGTCTCAGCCTCGGAGATATGAATCATTATATTTCAAACATACTTTGTTTATATACCAGTCAAGCAGATCACATCGTACCATAAAATAGAAAATAACATTGTACAATATTGACCAATAGGATGATACCATTTCATGTCCAAGGATAGCGTTACACTTCACAGAATAATTTTTGGGATATTTTTCTGAATATCCCAACAGTATATACTTTGTTAAATAATCACAATCTTGTCTAAACAATTAAAACTAGTGTTTATGGAATTTATGAACGACAGGATTTAGAACTGTTAAACGTATGGAAATAAATTCAATTCTTTCATATTAGACGGTAACTGTATGCTGAAGTTTCATAAAAATATGGAAAACTCGTTCACTACCTGATCATCCATTAAAAATCGTAGTCGAAACGTAACTGGGCGACAAACCGTAAAATTAACTACAGTTCTGGTAGTATATTTTTAACTATTTACGAGTAAAGTTTTCAATCCTAACCTGTTTGTCTGAATATATGAGAAAAGTTAATTCAGCTTATATCTAACCACAGTAGTTTTTTATTCAGTGCTAAAATGTTAAGTATGTAAGTAAAAACAAACCTGATAGTTTTATAATTCTAATAGAAAAGACTTGACTAGATTAGCTTACTTGACAGAGTTTTCGAAAACTGGGCATCCCGACACCATCAAATGATCCAATTTGGACAAATGCAGTAATTGATTAACAAAATTCCAATTTGTGAATAAGTTGTTCTTTAACCCAAGAGTGTTGAGGTTTCGAAACAGATGCGAAGTATCTTTATCGTGTACATGTATTTGGGAGATGTGCTCAGAATGATCATTTAGATTTGGAATGTCTGCTATCTCGTTATAATTTAACAACAGGCTGTTCAGATATTTGGAGGCTCCAACAAGGGCGAATAACTGATGAGCGGACGTTAGATTTATGTGAGTTAAGTCTAATTCAGTCAACTTTTGGAAAACTTTAATAGCATTTTCTTCCCAGTCAATTGGAGGATTGCCCAACTAAAATGTAATCACACATTTCATAAACACACCATGACTGGATGTTGTTTAGTTTAAAGAAACACAAAAGAAAGCCGTATATGTTAATACTTTAGAGCAACAAAGTGGAGGATCTCAAAGACTTTTTTATCAGGGTTTGTGACCACACTTATAGGGTAACAAAGTACTCAATACCGACTTTATTTTATTTTCAAGTCAATGAAGCTTAATGCTTGTTTTCATATTGTACATTAAAGTAGACGGTTTATAAGTGGTTATTTTAGCACGTTACCTAGATGTAGATGCAGCGAATATAAAAACAAATCTGACAATTACTTTTTATGATCATTTGCAGGTTATTAACTTACAACTGCTTCTTAAGACTTAAATTTACATCAAGACATCAAAGTTGTTCAAAGTCTTCTAGTAATGTAGGAATTTCTTTACCATAATTTACACATGTATTAGACTGGGAGATGGTAACGGTCCTTATCGAAATACAGAACCCGGAAGCGAAATATTACAATTTTACTGGAATTTATGTGATTCATTATTGATATTTTTACTATTCGAGGTATATTATGGAATTATTTTATTTGTTGCAAAATCTTATGTTGACGATCAGGTCAGTGGTTGAAATTACATAAGCAGGTGAACTTTCGAAAATACACTTATAAATAAGTTAACATGAAATCATAAGGCTTTGTCAGCAATATAGAAATCAGTGAGACCACACAAAAATGAAATATTAGGTGAAGTCGAATCTTAGGAATTTCTGAAAGTTGAATGACGAGTGACGTAACAAAAAGTCGTTAGGATTTGATCAAATTAGAAATTAGAACCCTTAAGTCACTCTAGAAGCTATCTTTAAAACAGACTACAGAGACAAAAGTTGTTAAGTTGAATAGTCTGTCTAAGTACACATTGTTGAAGGGATTCAATACTTGAGGTCAAATGAACAATATATATTACAATTAATTACTTGAATAAGTAAAGCACAAGGAAAACATTTACTTACATTATTGTAAGCTAGAGATAACGACTGTAAAGATGGCATCCAACATAATATTCTCCTAATACTTTTCCAATTTAGGAGTGAGCATTTGACTAAAGTAAGTTGCGACAACTGGGGAAAAGCGTTCGAACACAACCGTTCACTTAGGATAGGGTCCGAGTATATGTCATATAAAAGTCTAGATTCCAGACATTCATTTTCTTTTTGTTTATCATGCACTTCTTTTGGAGAAACAGGTAAACGAATGCGGTTGTTACTGACATTCAAGGATTTTAACCACGGAATTTGAATACAAATCTAATAAGATATATAAACATAGTTAACTTTTGTGGAGTAAAGAATGAACAAAGTGCTAATAAAAATCAAAACACACCTCAGCAATTTCTGTCCACTTTGATAACAGACAATTGCTCATTTCCAGATTGCATAAACTGGATAAAAACTGGTCGAGACAGCCTCCAGATGATGGCCAAAGTGGTGAGTATTCAGGTTGTCGATCAGGGAAAAAGTCACTTTTTCCATATAGTGCACGATATACGGGCACGGAAGACAAACTAACACTATTTAATCGGTTGAGACAACTTTTGGCTGCATCTGCTCCACATAATTCGTCATGAGAAGTCGATTGATGGCAAGTCCCAGGATTAGTGTAAAGTTCGATTCGAAATGTGTCTTTTGGGTATCCGTGAGTACCAAAGTATTCAGCGTCCTCCGCAGTACTACCAAGGTAACTGTTTAGATGACCAAGTTGGGTGCATTCATGAACGAGGATATTTTGAGAACTACCTGTGAGCTTTTCCCGTGATCGCAAAGAAGTCTGGATTTCCAGTTGACAAGTTGTGCAGACGGCATATCTATATACGAGAGCTTCCTCTAGACTGGTACCCAATGACACCTTTGAAGGCCTAAAAACATGATTGGATAGGATAAACGGAGTTTATCAAGTTGAAATTAAGACATGAAGTAGAACGAAATAAGTTATAACATGACTGAATACGGAAAATAACAAAAAATTGGCATGAACTGAAGTCATTTTCATGATTTATAAAGAAGCGAAATGTTATTATCTTTACCCTATCAGGGATTATAATCTTCTCCAAATGTTCAAACCGAAAGTATGATTATATCCCTAGTTCACTATACAAATACTCATACACCTAGATTAAAGATCAAAAAGTAAACTATAAAAGACTGCGAGATAAAAAAAACCTGGGAGGAATTAATAGCACAAAATCGATGATATAATGCGGATATTATTCAATTATACAAGTAGTCGATATTTAACTAGTAAGGTGTATGACTGAAATGCAGAAGTTACTTCGGTTTTGATAATGGGAAAGGTTAGGCATCAGACCTATGACACAAAAAATTAGTGAAACCAGAAAGATTATAAGGAATTCAGAAGCTTAAAATTAGGAGGAAAACGGCTAATGGGTGTGCCTGTGCCATTGCAAACTATTTCGAACCATAGCATTAAAAAACTAACAACTGGTTCAGATACTCACACAAACCCCAACCAGGTATTCCACACCTATTAACATGGTTCAGTTCAATTGTCAATGACTCCATGAACTCATGCCATGTTTTGGTTTGGCCGCCCCTGGCTCTCTTCCAGCCTACTCCTACACCACAACATCGCCAGTCGAGACAGACAGTGGTTGGGAATACATAACCCATGTCTCAACCAGCTCAGTTGATGAAAATTTAATACCTCACCAATCGATTTACCGTCCCTACCTAGTACCCCATTCCCAACCCAGGCATGGCTTACCCTGTGGTCTCAAAATACACGGGCAGTGCTTGGAAGATACCTATAACCGAACAATAGCAACTTGAGAATATCCCCTATTTTTAGACGCCACGTTTCACATCCATAATGTAGAATAGAGCAAACTGTTGCACAGTAAACTCGTCCTTTGATTGACAGGCGGATATTTTGCCTGCACCAAAAGTGACGAGAGTTGGTAAAAGTCAGTCTAGCTTCCTAAATCTGTGCCAAGACGTCGTCAGCCACCAGACTATCAGGACTGATGAAATACCCAAGATAGGTAAAGCGACTGGTGTATTCAACTACGTCACTCCCTACCTTAAATTCAGGAGCTGATGTACACCAATCCTAAAGCAACATTTTGGAGAATCACAACCTAAACATGAATACATTGTTGCTTAAGGCGTTTGGGAGACTCTGTATTTTGTCAGTGCTTCCATCAAACAGAACAGTATCGTATGCGTATTCTAAGTCTGCAGGTAAATATTCTGGTAGTTCGGTCGCTGAAATGCATATGATGAAAGTGATATTTCTAGAATCATATCCATTATAAAATTGAGTTTGATCGTACTAACCTTCTTAAAAAATAACATCGATCATGGACAACTGGTATGATATGTCGAGAATTCTTTATGACAACTTCAACCAAGACGATTTACAGAGTTATCCATTCGGAAGAGTCAGCTACAACACAGGACCAGGCACGTATGTGCATCGGTCCAAGTTGCCACACATCATTAGCACAACAAGATGAACAACAAATTCATAAAAGCAGTCGATTCAATGGTAATAATATATAAAAAAGATTGTGTTTAAGGAATACAGTACAGGAAGAAAGAATTAGTTCGTAGAAAGAAAGGTATAAAGCGATTTTAATCTCACGGTCACGCGGACCCCAACCAAATAGTCTGCATCTACCATCACGACTCAGACTAGAATTTAGTGACTTTATGGACTGATGCAACGTTTCGATTTGGCCGCCCTCAAGTTTCTTCTAACCGTCTCCAACACTAGTCAGCATTGAGCGTCGTGGTAATCGATGTTTAGGCATACGTAACACGATTAAACCATTTCAGACGATGAAGATTCACAATCTCGCCAACTCATTTACGACCACTCCCTAATACCCTTCGTCCAACCACATTACTACTTACCCAGTGATTTCAGCAGATTTCATAGGTAGAGATTATAGGTCAGTGAAACAAAAGTTAGACACTTAAAACTAACGCCAATATTCTGTGCATTTACACCGAAGTACCCAACATAAACTTCTGACCCCATTCGCACTAAATATTTTTTTATTAGTTACGTTTGGACTCTGCCTTAACTTCAGCACTTTTTATGACAGATTGCTTTGAATTCATAGTTTTTCGCTTTTTTGACTGCCGTTTAAGGCAATAGATTTCTTTCTATTGATAAACATTATCACTCACCTCACAAATGAACCGGAAGTTGGGCATTTAGCCTGAAAGTACCGGACACCATCGTAAGTTCCATCATGTCTGCCACGCGATTGGTCATCCCAATCAACTCCAAGCCAAGACCCATTCGATCTCGGCAACTCACCGACATAACAGATAGTCCCGAAGTTTTTTTCATGTACTATTCGCCTTCCAATGATCGACTCATTAACTTCGGTTATCTTTCCGCATTCCGTTCCAAGGTGAACGTCTTTGATAGGACTGTGGTTATGGGCATTACTGGTAGTTTTCCTGTATATTTTTAGAAATAAAAATCATTGCAAGTATGCAAAAAACCCACATCGTAACGTACTACTTAAAAGTGTTCATTGTATGTAGCAAAACAAGTGTACAGAAACCAAAAAAGTCTAATATAAAAATACGAGAAAGAACAAATTTGGTATCTGAGACAGTTTAAAACTTGTGATTATCGTTTTCGAAATCAATTGATATGTTTTCTCACTTTTGTTTTCAGAAATAAATATCGTTGGAAGTGTGGCTTGCATTGGAGCTCAGGTACCAGTGACAGTTCATCTCTCCTGTAGGGTGCTGACCATTATATAAGAAAGATGGAATCCCACCCTGTGCTTATTGGATCGCCATATTTTAAACAATCTACGATTTCTTTGGAGGTTTTTAACGCAAAAATAAGCAAGCAGATAACATTCAAATCATTACTAAAGTTACTGAGAGCCAATGAAAGTTCGCTTCGCTTTTTACGACGACATACAGAATTGAAGTTAGAGCGTTTAAATGATTCGTCGTAAAATAGTTTGAGAAGACCCGTCATTCCCTTGGTAACCATGAATTAAGCATTCTGTAGCGGTAAATAGACTTCTGAAATATATGATTCGGTATGTATTCGGTATTGATGATGACCGATTCAGTTTCATTGGGTGCATTCTAGATAAATGTTCTTGGTCAACTATCTGCTTCACAAAGCCACTGGTTATGCCGCGCTGCTCATCAGATTAGAAACGTCTCAGAGTGTCGACCCTTTTCCAAACATACTTTCGGAACAATTTATTCCTCAATTCTGGTCTGACTGACTGTGGCATCCCTGGTCGGAAAAACGTTAAACATGTGTGGATTGCAAGATCTAAACCGTATATTGATCAAAACGCATAGAATTTTGATGAAGTTGCCAAAATACTTGAAAACGTGCAGCACCAGTTGCTTTGAAATTGAGTATTAACTCGTAGATCTTCCTAACTTTAGAACTATGGAAATGGTGTTCCATTGGTGATATACTGGTGATTTGTTACTCTAAATGGAGCATAGACCAGTATTCTTCAAGAGATTAGCATATACTTTTCAGACTTAATCTCGGAATACCAACTTGGGAACTGTCGTACTAATTTGTTCAAATAAACTTGAAGATTGATATAGTCAGCCCCACTATTCAGACTGATATTGCCTGAAATCAGAATTGCCAATGACTTAAACAGTCTCCGTAATCCATTGACGTACATGATAAATAGTAGAAGAAATGACGACATGTCTCGTTGCACTGGAAGATTAACTGACTTTTGATATTTCAGCCACATGGCATTCTATGAAGATGATACGGGTATTCAGTGTTTGACAACGCTTTTACCAGCAACACCTTTTAATATAAATTGTACCCACCGAGAGAAATCAAAAGACAGAATAGAGGAGATCCGAAGAGTGTATTTGGCGATCACCAATATATTGGGATTCTCTGATCTAATCTGGCTAGCGATTGCGATAGATGTTGAGCACAGCGTTACCACACATGATCTGATACTATGGATGACCGAGCGCCTTCAGCTAATTGAGTCCACTAAAACATATGGTCAGCATCCAACGTCGAAAACTTACAGAGCTATTTATTTTGAGGATTTATTTACCGCTACATCCATATTCTTTCTAGCATTTTGTTATTATTATTCACACAGTGCTTATAATTTTGATAGCATTTAGCATGCTTTATACATACTAATCATTTCTGAAATATGTACTGAATATTTCGTTAACTTTATATTTACGTCATTATCCCCACTCGTAAAATGTGTATTTGGGACACGGGTTGAGCACGTATTTAAATTGGGAAACTTGTAGATCACCAACGTGGATGATCTGTCGAATGCTTGGGGCCTACTCCAGTTAGACGGGAATGGCGTGACGAACCAGCTAAGTTCGAAGTCATACCTCGAGTTCAGCACTTAACACGGACTACACTTTTGTCGCCCAGATTAAGAGAAAAGCCACAGATCTTCAGCATGAGTTATTGTCAACAACCCTTAAACTACGCATCAAATAGATGGGAATATGTAAGGAGACCTTACTATGTGATACATCTACAGGTAGGGATCGTTCAATCGTGCCAAAAGATTATCGACACAACGTCTTCAATGTGTTGCGCAAGCCTTCTCATCCAGGTATTCGTGCAACCATCAAGCATATAGCAGAACGGTTTTGTTGTCCTGGTATGAATAAAGATGATTAGACACAACAAATGTCCCTTAGGCTCTTTCAAATCTCCAGACACTAATTTCGTCCATGTTCATCTGGATTTGGTAAGACCTTTACTAGCTTCAAATAGATACTCTTATCTTTTAACCTGCGTATACCATTTACCTCGATGGATAGAAGCAGTACCTATCAAGGACATCACTGCTGAAACAGTGGCCAGCGCCTTCGTCGAACAATGGGTAGCGAACTTCGGCTTCCTTAGAACCATCACTGCAGATGGCAGATACCAGTTCGAATCTGAACTTTTACGTTGTCCGACCACACTATTAGGAATCACTTGCTTCCGAACCACTAAAAGCTTCACTGTCAGCTGCAAACATTTCTCGGTCAACCGGCACCCTTCCACTCGTCTTACAAGGTATTCGCAATGCAGTGAAAGCTGATATTGGATACACTGCAGCTCGACTCATATATGGAACGACACTACGACTTCCAGGAGAATTCGTTGGTCCTTCATCTTCTCCAGTTAACATGTATCTAACCTCTTGAACGAACAGGCTTACAAACGCAAAGCGTTCAGTTAAACCTGTTTCCACTCGAGCTCAATCAACCGATGTTTTCGTTCAACCTGACTAACGATATAGTACACATGTCTACGTACGTCGAGACTCGAATCTGCGACATTTCGAATCATCATACGAAGGACCTTTTAAAGTTGTTCAACGCGAACCTAAGCACTATGTGATCGATAAGAAGAGAACCAACGATGGCATCAGCATCGATCGCCTCAAACGAGCGTATTTAGAAGGAAATCTTATCCACGTTTATTTTCCTTCAGTACAATCGAACGACACGGCTCCTGCACTGATAATACTTCAACCGACAGTCAACACACACGATGATACTTTGGCAGTACCAGAAAATAAACTTAAAACAACACGTTCTGGAAGAAGAGTAAGATTTGCAGAACATTTGAACGATTATCGCACGTAAGATACTAGTTGACATTTTACATTGTCTCGATTTTCCTTTGTACTATTAATTAATAATTAAAAGAACAAACAATTTTAATTAGCTTATATATTTGTATTTCCAAAAAAACAAAAAGCATTATAAGAATCCCTATTTTATACGCTATTACGTGTGAGTTAGTTTGATTTCCTTTTTTCGGCCACTTTGTTTTTATGCGCTTACATATGTATTTCGACATGTTGTCACATTTTTTTTTTCCAAGACGGCTGGAAAAGACAATAAAAAGGACGATGAAATTCACGGGCAATCGAAATTTTCATTTTTTACCATATCATACTTCATGGTCCCTTATAGTAAGGAAAGGCAATTAGACGCCGCCGAGCCCAGTAAGCTATCAAGTGTTTACCAACAATAAACTCGTCGGGTTTCAACTTCTGGCTGGCCATGTCTTAGGGTCTTCACTACCACACAAGAAGGGGAGTGATCTGTAGCGGTAAACAAATCTCTAAAATAAACTGATCACATTATTTTTAATGGTCTCACTTATTTGAAGGCGCTGTCATGCATCCGAACCAGATCACGAGTGGGAACGCCGTGCTCAACGTTCCCTGCAATCGCTAGCCAGATTAGATCAGACGATCCTCGATCTATTGATAGCCTATCAAATATATCTTCCAATCTCCTCGCTTCTGTTTTTTTATTTTACTTGGTGAGTACGACCCATATTAGGTGTTACTTTTTAAAGCGATGTCAAACTCCGAATACCTGTGGCATCCTCAACCCAAATATGCTAAAATGTTTACTTCAAAATTAATATGCTCTAAGTCAGGTAGAAATTGCAACCATGCAGTAGGATGTGTGGCACAATTAAAAAATGTACAGACGTTATAGAAATAACCAGCAAAACAAAGCTACTACCGAAGCCATTCATAGCTGCCCCTCCCCTGCCTGACCGTTGTTGCTACCTTGACGTGGTGGTTGGGCTTGCCTAACGTGATGAAGCAACCGAGCTATACTGGCTGGAACAACCGTTCCTCAAGGTCCTACCATGTCAGACAGGTCGGTTGAAGAGCGGTAAGACTAAAAGCAACAAACCTAAGGTCCGAAGGCGAAGTCGTACTGCTGACTGTACAGAGGTGTGACAGCAGTAAGGTGTTTCCTTCAGACAACCAGCATGACAGCGATGCTGCCTTCCCACAAGGAGGGGTGGGGTTAGAAAAGGTCGACCCTAAAAATGCACACCTCACCTTACCTCACGGATTTCCGTCTCCGGCGGTAAGGCTCTTTGAAGAACGGAGCTAACACCTCAAAAACCTTCCACAAAAAGGCCGTGCGCGACCGGCCTCAAGCAGTTGATCCTTGGGCACTGCGGTCACGCTTTCAGGTCGCTGAGACCGCCCCTAATCCAATTTCCTTTTCAGGTACCTCCAGAAGAACCCTTCCACGGTGTGGGCAACCGGGAAGTGATAACCGCCCTCATACCTCTAACAGCACCCAAGACCACTGTATTCATAATCAACCTTCCTCTTCAATTCCTATTATTCCTCCTACATCGACTTTCAACCCTAAACTTCCTCCTTCGGCTTCTTCCTCAAGTGTCACCATAGCCAACGATTCTAGTGCTCAAAACTCTGTCCCAGGTCTACTGAAACCTCGCTCTAAACTACACATTGGAGCTTTCAACGTACGCACCCTATGTCAAATCGGTCAACAGGCTTCCTTGGCTAAAACCCTAGAGTCTCTTTCCATCGATGTATGCTGTGTCTCCGAAACACGCATACAGGATTCCAGTGTGATCATTCACTTGACCTCACCTCGGGAAAACGGAGAGCCAACGAGATGCACCCTACGTGTATCTGGTGACCCGATGGCCAGTTCTCGTGGACTGGCAGGTGTAGGCATAGCACTAAGCATGAGGGCGGAACAAGCACTGCTAGAGTGGATCCCCATCAACAGTCGTCTATGTGCTGTTCGGCTAAACGGCTCCGTAAGAACTCGGAAGGATAGGGACACACGTCGTTGCCTTTTTGTCGTTTCTGCCTACGCTCCCACTGACTGCAGCTCCGATGAAGTGAAGGATGAATTTTACAGAAAGCTTTCTGAACTTCTTCAGAAAGCTAAACGCTCAGACATAGTACTCGTAGGGGGTGACTTTAATGCTCAGATAGGTAGCTTAAACCAAACAGAAAGGCATTTAGGTGGATATTTTAGCATTCCGGCACAGCGAACAGATAATGATGATCGTCTGCTGCAACTGTGCTCAGACAATCGCTTATTTTTAGCAAACACAAATTTTAAGCATAAGGAAAGACATCGTCTAACATGGCGACCCCCTACACCAAACCAACGATGGACTCAAATAGACCATATTGCCATCAGTCATCGTTGGAGAGGGTCGGTAGAAGATTGTCGCTCATTCTGGAGTACCTGCTTGAACTCCGACCACGCCCTAATACGGGCACGCATCTGCTTGCGCCTCACCGGACGCAAAAAAGCCACATTAAAAAGACCAATTAGAACTGAATTGAGTAACGAGAAAACCAAAAATAGGTTCCAAGAACAACTGAGTTCACACTTAGGTAGTTCTGAAGACGAGGCTGACCCAGATGTTGCTTGGAAAGACATACAAGCAGCTGTGGAAGCAGCAGTGACATCTATTAGCAACTTAAACCACAGAGTTTCAAAGGACCAGTGGATTTCTTCAAAGTCTATCACACTGATGGATTCTCGCAAACTTGTCCCATCAGGTTCCGAACATGATGAAGAGCGACAACAAATCAAATCTAGGTTAAGAAAAAGTCTAAGAAACGACCGTGAGCAGTGGTGGGCAACGAAAGCAAAAGAGATGGAAAAGGCGGCGACTATAGGGAACACAAGACAGCTTTACAGACTAATAAAAGAAACTGGAATTAATAAGTCAAGTGTAAGTGAGATTATATCGGAAAAAGACGATGCACTCATCTGCTCCCAGTCCAGGCGTTTAGAACGATGGGCTGAACATTTCAGAGAACAGTTCAGCTGGCCTTCAGCTACTCTACAACTACCCTCCATTCCCAGACAGCGTGAATGGAACATTGAAGTAGGTCCCCCAACTCTTGCTGAAGTTCAAAAGGCTATAGATAATCTGAAACGAGGAAGGGCTGCTGGTCCAGATGGACTGGCTCCAGAAGTCTATAAGGATGGTGGTCCAGTTTTAGCGGTTAGGTTGACTAATATTTTAGCTAAGATCTGGGAGTTAGACGTTATTCCATCTGACTGGTCACAATCACTTATCGTCCCAATATATAAGAAAGGGTCAAAATCATCCTGTGACAACCACAGAGGGATTAGTTTAACTAATATAATATCTAAAATACTAGCCTCAATAATAATCAGACGCCTAACTAAGACTCGTGAACTGCAAACACGAGAAAATCAAGCTGGCTTCAGACCTGGTCGTGGCTGCATCGACCACATATTCACCATTCGTCAGGTTCTAGAACACAGGCATACTTATCGGCGTCCGACGATGGTGGTCTTTCTTGACTTAAAAGCAGCATTTGACTCTGTAGACCGCGAGATTCTGTGGCAGTGTCTGTCATTGAAAGGCGTACCCCAGAAGTACATAAACCTTGTAAAGGCTCTTTACTCGAACACTACTAGTCGAGTGAGAGCTTATGGCGAACTGTCATCTAGTTTTGCAACCTCAAGTGGTGTCCGTCAAGGATGTCCACTTTCCCCATTTTTGTTTAACTTCATCATAGATCTACTGATGGAAATAACTTTCTCGTCGACTGAGTTCTCGGGTATTGATCTCCTTCCAGGAGGTCCACTTATCGACTTAGAATACGCAGATGACATAGTCCTGTTTGGTGAAGACGCTGACAAAATGCAGAATCTTCTGGTAGCACTGAGCAACAATGCCAGGATGTTTGGAATGCGCTTCTCTCCCTCTAAATGCAAGTTGTTGCTTCAGGATTGGTCTGCGTTAACACCTGAACTAAGGATAGGGAGTGAAGTAGTCGAACGCGTTGACAACTTCACTTATCTTGGAAGTCTGATCAGCCCTAATGGGTTGGTATCGGACGAAATCTCAGCACGGATTCGAAAAGCTCGTTTGGCTTTTGCCAGCTTACGTCACCTATGGCGAAGGCGAGATATCCGTCTATCAATAAAAGGACGAGTATACTGCGCGGCAGTCCGTTCTGTTTTAATTTACGGCAGCGAAACATGGCCATTAAGAGTAGAAGACACTCGTAAGCTATTAGTATTTGACCACAGATGCCTAAGAAATATTGCTGGCGTCTGCTGGGATAACCGGGTAAGTAATAGTGAGGTTAGACGCAGGGTATTAGGAAAGGATGGTAAATCAGTTGATGAGGTTATGAATCTTCATCGACTGAGATGGTTGGGCCACGTGTTACGTATGCCTGAACACCGATTACCACGACGTGCAATGCTATCCGGTATTGGAAATGGTTGGAAGAAAGTTAGGGGCGGCCAAACCAAAACGTGGCATCAGTGCTTGAAGTCACTAACTTCTAGTCTGAGCCATGTTGGTAGATGCAGACTACTTGGTTGGGGTCCGCGTGACTATCGTAACCAATGGTTGGAGACTCTTGGTGACATGGCTCAGAATCGATCACAATGGCGTCGGTGTATACACTCCCTGTCTTCCCTTAAACTATGAGATTAAAATCGCTTCATATCTTTCTTTCTACGAACCAATTCTTTCTGCTTGTACTATATCTCTATATGCAATCTTTCTCATATATTACCACCTTTCACCTAACCACTGTTATGAATCTGGTGTTCATCTTGTTGTGTTGATGCGGTATGGCAACCTGGACCGATGCACATATGTGCCTGGTCCTACGTTGTAGCTGACTGACTGACTGCCCCTCCCCTGACTGTAATAAGACATACAAAATTCTGGACTGGCTTAATAAACATATTCATTCTTATCATCCACAACACAATCTACCTAAAACTGAAACCGGAGTAAGTAAAAATAACTCCCTAAACAAATATCCGTTTACTGGCTGTAATAAGTGCCTACCGACTAAGAACGATATAATCAATCACTGCTATGTAGTACACAGGTGATCAGCAATGACTGGACAGGAAGTAAAATCAAAGACAACAGCTAAATGGTAGTCTTGTCTATCTATTCTAGTTGGAGCGTAAATCCACAACAAGTAATTAGTGAAGTAAGACAAATCAGATAAAGATCCAGTAGCTTTTAAGACAAAGTAACACCGTCCTTTTGTAAGACATTTGTAACCTACTATCTAAATTAACTAGCAAACATTAAGCTTGACTTCCGAGTTCCTACGTGCAAAATGTACATCAAGAATGTCGAAGAGTAATGTTGTTGACCTTCAATATCATTAAAAACAAAAGTCATGGTTTATGCATCGATAACATGAAGTATTTTTAGGCCTGTGAACTCGTGATTATTATTTACCAAGTGAAGTGTTCCGATCTGAAAATAATGAAAATGACTAATGTTCATATAAATTCAACGTCATTTACAAAATAAGCACGTTTAATTCAAATCAGGAATTCTTAAGACACAGGATATGAACAGAAATGAAGTCCAATGTTTTATTAAAGCGAGGATGTTAAATAATTTAAAGAACTTTCGGATACTCAGGATGCTTCTTCAGGAATTCCGTTAGTTTTCTGGGATAATCCGTCATAACACCTGAAGCTCCAAGTTCGAAAGCTTTCTGCATATCCTCTTCATTGTTACACACCCAGAAGAATACCTTGTAGAGAAAATATCATTAAGAAAATTAATAGACAGAACTTTTCAACAAGTAATACGGAATATACGGGTGTTTCAAGTATATCATAAGTATGATGAATAACAAATAGTTTCCAAGTCATTTTTTCTAGTAAAAAAATACAGCCAAAACACTAGTTTTAAAAAATGTAATTTCGGGAAGTAAACAAACGAATTCGATACTGCTCAAACATTCGCTTACTATTGAAAACCTTACAGGAAAAAATAAGGCTTAGTCAAGCTTCATTTTACTTTGTAATGTGTTAATGACTAATTACTTTGAAAGTTAAACGGTCACTCTATAAGTGTTGCACTTTCAAGATTATTCAGCTGACATGGAAAAATTAGACAGTTCATCAAAACTGTTGACAAGACTAGATTGCTCAGGTGACATTTTAGTTATGTGAATGCTGAACAGAAATAGGTTGTCGAATTATAATCCTATGAGTATAAATTTAAACGATGAAATAATCTTATAAGTTCGAAAGAAAAAACTAAATCTCAGTTTAGTAACAAGCCTATAACGATTTTCATTTTACGAAATATAATGGCGCGGAAGTTGAAAATTAAGCACAATTCTAATGACATCTTACACGGGTGCTTTGGATATTGTTTTTTCGAAAATTTCAAATAATAATGATTTCAGAAATGCATCGAGGATTATTAGTAGTTTCATTTACTGACCTAGACTCGCAAAGGCAATATGCACCTACTGGGTTCGTAAATCACGTAGTACATAGAATTTATACACAACTTATTCTTGTTCTTAGTGAAATTCTTCATGTGGCTTTATCTGAAGTGTGATGTGTGCATCTTATATCGACATAAGAAGTATATAACACTATCTAGGAGTCAGTCAGTCAGCTACAACACAGGACCAGGCACGTATGTGCATCGGTCCAAGTTGCCACAATTCATTAGCACAACAAGGTGAACAACAAATTCATAGAAGCAGTTAATTTAATGGTAATAATATATAAGAAAAAGATTGTGTATAAGGAATACAGTACAGGAAGAAAGAATTAGTTTGTAGAAAGAAAGATATAAAGTGATTTAAATCTCACGGTTTAAAGGAAGACAAGGAATGTATACACCCACGCCATTGTGATCGATTCTGAATCATGTCACTCAGAGTCTCCAACCATTGGTTATGATAGTCACGCGGACCCTCACCAAATAGTCTGCATCTACCATCATGACACAGACTAGAATTTAGTGACTTTATGGACTGATGCCACATTTCGATTCGGACGCCCTCAACTAGTAGCTCATGAGTATCTTCTACTCTTAATGGTCACCTTTCGCAGCCGTAATGTAGAATTGAACGAACTGCTGCGCAGTATATTCGCCCCCTAATTGGTAGACGGATATTCTGGCTACATCATTTGTGTCGTCAGTTGGCAAAAGCTAAACGAGCTTTAAAATATAAAATGAAAATAATAAAGTCTTATGTTGATTACGAAATAAACAACGACTGCCAAAAGTAAACAGAGGTCGGTCGAAGTTATAGAATTATGAAAATGTTACAAATTAACGATACATATCACATATTGGTGCTAAATAGTGCTTAATCCACATGACATTCACTATAGTAAATGTATTTGTTGGCTATTAAAAAATATATACAGTGAACGTCTGACCCAACAAATTTGTCATAGTTAATAGGTAAACACATAATCTAACTCTACTGTAAAAAATCAACTTAAAACGAATAAGTTTACGAATTTATATTGAAAAAAAAGTTTTATTCTTTATTTCGTAATCGTAGGTCCGATGCCTAATTTTTTACATTATTACTACCTCTTACTTATTTACGCCTGTTACCCCTCGTGGAAGAGCATAGACTACCAACCACGATTGTCCAAACGACCTTGTTCTGGGCTCTCCTTTCCGGTTGTTTCTGAGTGTTATTCGTTCCTTTAGTGTCTGCCTCCGATTTCCGACGCAATATGTTCCTTGGTCTTCCTCTTCTCCTTTTGCTTTTAGGATTTCAAGTTAGGACTTGCTTCGTAATGTACTATGTTGACTTTCGCAGTGTCCTATCCACCTTCATCGTCTTTTCCTCTTAAACTGGAAGCTGTTTTGTTCTCTGCCACAGTAGGCTGTTGCTGATGTTATCCGAGCAACGGGCAGTGAGTATCTTACACAGATAATTCTATTCAAATTGTTGTACCCTTTCGATGGTGGCTGCAGTATTTCTCTAAGTTTCAGCTCCGCACAGTAGAACCGTCTTGACGTTCGTATTGAAGATTCTGATCTTGGTGTTGGCTCTTCAATCGCAGGAATCATGCCCTTACTTTGCCAATCCTGGGCTGTGTGTTTTCATCAGATCCTCCTTGTCCATCGATAATGCTGCCCAGGTACGTGAAACTTTCCACCTCTTCCAGAGCTTCTTCATCAAGCGCGATTGAGTTGGTGTTCTTTGTGTTGAGGATCTTGCCTTTTCTCGCGTGCATGTTGAAGCCTACTGATGCAGAAGCTGCTTCTACACTAGTTGTCTTCATTTGCATTTGTTAGTGTGCATGGGATAGAAGGGTAAGGTTATCTGCGAAGTCCAAATCGTCTAACTGCATCCAACCCGTCCATTGTATTCTGTGCTTTCCGTTAGGTGTGGAGGTGGTCTTCATAACCCAACTAACTACCAGCAGAGAAAGAAGGAGACTAGATAGCCTTGTCTGACTTTGGTCCTCACTAGGAAAGCATCTGTCGGCTGCTTTCCGTGCACGACTTTGCACTGTGGTCTGTCGTATGAATTCCGGATGATGTTGAAGATTCTCTCAAATACAGTATAGTGTTGAATAAGTTTCCATAAGGTCCTCCTATCCACACTGTCGAATGCCTTCTCATAGTCAATGAAGTTGATGTACAGTGGCGAGTTCCATTCAATCGGCTGTTCAACGATGATCGAGTATAAAAAAATAGTAAATACGTTTACCGGAAAATGATTTTTAATCATATCAATCAAATGTTCGCGTAATCACAAATTTTTATTAAATGTAAGCATACTTAAACACAACACTATCAAACAAGGAATCCTAATTTTATATCCTGTCATTGAAATATTTGTATGGAAACTATTTTCACAATAGTAAAAATTATCAAGAATAAGTCGACAAAACGGAACATATTTATACAAGACAGGGTCACAACAATTAATTTTTCAAACACTTAAATAATTTACTCTTATACTTAATATCAGCACTGCCTACTTGGTGATTGCAATTTAATTTAGGAAATAATCCGAAAGCATTAACTGTTCCCCATTCGAATCATTGTTTAACATTATTATAATGGGAGAAGGTCAGATATTCGGTTTCTCGTACGAATTCGGAAACTTCATCTGAGCTTCAGATAACACAAGATAATATGAAGGATTCTAATACTTAAATAACAACAATGTTACTCAAAATTGATGTAGTTTCTTAAATTATTTCATTTGAATTCATATATTCAGGTATGTTAGGTATGCAGAGGAACATGCCAATAATTATCGTGTCAAGTCGAATAGTGTCCTTGGACGTTAAATGTATATTTCCTATTGGTCGATATTTACTTGACTTTTTTAATATTGTGTAAATGTTGTTTTCTATTTTATGGTACGATGTGGTCTGCTTGATTAGTATATAAACAGTATGTTTGAAATATAATGATTCATACCTCAGAGGCTGTGACTTGCGTTCTGGACTCAACTGGCTGGGACAGACAGCGAAGCAGAGCCGAATGGGACTCTAGGTCGTTCGTACGTGTTTACGTGTCACTGAATCGATCGATATAAACGCTGCTTATCACAAACCTGCAGTCACCTGTTACAACAAGGTGGTAGGTCGTTATCTCATAGACTAAAGAAGATCATAACGAGCTTTTAGGGTTTAAAATACAGAAGTGAAACATGAAACGTTGGTTCAATTAATTTTAGGTGTAGAGAATATCTGATTTATTGATATACATGGTGCTAACATTCATATTATTAAGGTGCGCTTAGAAACTGGATTATTGATGCATCTACCGTATATTTTCCTCTCAATATTGAATTTCAGTACTTCTGTATACATTCCTTTCCATTTTATCTTTTCAACGTTTGGTTTTTCTTCGAATTGTTATTGCTACTAGATTATTTAGGTCTAATTGTTAATTTAATTTCATACGGTTAGTTCCCTTTATGTTTATTTTGTCATGCTAATGTGGTATGGCAACTTAGGTCAACGTACATTTGTACCAGTCTCTATATTGATGATGTTTGTTTATTTTAATAATATTGTGTAAATACTTTACATTTAAATAGTGTATTTTGCAATTACTGGTTTGAAGATATACATTAGTTCAGCTTATTAAATATTTACCAGTAGTAGTAGAGATATAGATTATTAGTTAAATAATCCAACTTTCAACAATCAACGCACAAGTTAAAAACCTCAGCTTCAACTTCCGATTTAGGTAGCTGGGTAATATCAGTAGCTTTCAGATAGCTAAACTGTGACTCAAAGCCAGATATATTAACCTGCTTGTACTTGATAGACGAATCAAGTTTATAGAAGTTTGGTGTAAAATAATATCAGTCAGTCAGTAACAACGTGAGATTTCGTACGTACGTACATCAGTTCGAGTTGCCATACCATACCACATTAACAAAGATGCAGTTGTCGATTCGAATTCCGTAATGGTAGAGGTGGTAAGAGTATAAGCAGTAATTGGAAACATTAGGATTTGAAAATGTTATTCAAGGAGTATAATACAGTGAAATAAATTTGGAAAGAGGAAAAAAGGAACATGAAGAATTAAGATTAGAATTTGAGAGAACACAAAGAGCGGATGCACCTGCGCCATTGCAAACGATTACAATATGAGGATATGCCGAGAACTTCAGTAAGTGTATACATAAAACGCATTCCGATTTTTTTTTTAATGTACACAATTAGTTTTTATAATAATCAGTAGATAGTTTTATTGAAATTTGCTTAGCATTGATTGGAGTAAAAGTTCTGTTATTCAAGATACAAAACGGGATAATCGTTTCTACCATAAGTCATCTATGATATGAAAAATTGGTAATTAGTTTTCCTTTAGACAGGAAAACTATAATGACAGTCGTGGGTAGTAAAATTTGAAAACAGTTAAAAATTAATAGTGATCCCATTACCCCTGATGAATTTGTATACAAAATGAAATAAAAAAGGTATTATTTGCTTGTATCTTCTCATTGTTGTTCAGGACTGTAATTGATCAGTCTCTTGTTGGCATATATGCACCCTGTGCGAACTGCCTCGATATTACCTTAAGTCACAAGCTTTATAGGCAAAGATGGATGGTGGTTAACAGTGGAATCCAGGAAGCGCGTTTTCGTCCAATTTGGGACCCGTCAGCTAGATGTACCTGCATCAACGGTGGGAAGATACAAGCAAAAAATATCAAGTGAATTTAAACTTCACTTCATTGCATAAACAGATGGCTATCATGATCCAGTAGGTAAGTGGATAACGCGATGGTGTTTGAAGCGAACGGTGCTAGGTTCCAGTCCCTGAGTGGACATCAACTCTGGGATGCTGACACATCCAGCTGATGAGTCCCAAATAGGACCAGACGTACGTCTTGGATTCCACTGATAGCCATTATCCATCCTTGCTTATCAAAAAGTTCATAGTTTAAAATTTCACAGTAAAAGTTGAATCGAATCAGACACAAACATGGATTTCTGAATACGAAATATTCACCTACATGAACACCGAGAGATATTCTCTTGTTTAAAATAACATTAATTTAGTAAACTTACCGGAAGTCCACGTTTTCGTAGATGTTCGATGAACAAAGGTGACGATAATACGCTGTTTCATACATACACATATGCGCGCAAAAAAAAAATCAAAAAAGAAGTAGAAAGTAACGGAATAGTTAGGAGAAAAGAAAGCTTACTCTAATGTCTACCATTTTTAGTGACAATCATGATCATGAGTCAATCGCACTATATAGTATGATAAACGTGCATCCACTTTTATCCTAACATAGATTAAAACTGTGATTAATATGAACATTTCCAGATATTAAAGATTCCCATTGTGAAAATTAGAACAACACATATAAGCGAACAATTGTTTTCAATTAGATCGTCATCAGGCTTTACTCTAATATACATGAATATTTATACGAAAATGTTAAACCAATCAAGGCAATATGAGTCAATAATCACAATGAAATAAAATAAGTCTCTAGGTAAAAGTACAAGTTGATAGTAGGAAGACAGGTGAACTGATAATAGTGAGAATAATAAAATACAATAACAAAACTCTTATCAATAATTAAACGTTGGAAATAGAAGGTCAAATAAACATGGGTAAATAGACTAGGAATAGTAATCACAAAACATTAAAATCATTACGTAATAAGATGTGTGTAAATAATTAGATAGTGAAGAATACAAAGAGGCGGAAAATTACAAACAAATAATGGATGTGAAAATAAGGTCAATGATAACACAAATAAAATAAAATGAATAAGGATAATAATAAAATAAAATAAATAAATAAAAAGAATTGTTAGTTAAGTTATAACTGGCCATGGAAGGGATAGGGGGGTCACGTATTTCTTCTGTACACATAAATTGGGGTTATATGTACGAATTCCAATGGCTTCAGCTATATATAGGAGACGGGAACGGACTCCGTCGGGAAATGATGGAGGTATACGATAGATAACTCGAAAAGATTTCGATTTATCTACTGCATGACCGCTATCAATAAGATGTGCCAATATAGAACTCCGAATAGATTTCCTCTGGCCCTTTATGTACCAAGTTGGTAGATGTTCACTCATTCGTTGGTTAAGTTGCCTGGTAGTACGCCCTATATAGCTATCTCCACAGGAGCAGCTGAATTTGTAAATGCACATGGAAGAGGCCAACTCAGGTAACTTATCCTTCGTTTGAGTAGACATCGCTGGTCGACAAGAGAAGGTCAACGCCAGATTGGCTGCGTAGAATGTCCTGGTGATTACTTTGGTTAATCTATATTTCAGAGTGTCACTAGCCACATCCCCGTTGAATTGCACTTTCATGTATAAAGGTTTCTTACGAACAGTCGAAATCTCCGACTTTTTTATTATATCATGCATGTACTTCCTAATGAACGCGCTGGGGTAGCCAATCTCGGTCAGTGAGTTGTTGATAAATTCAAGCTCCTGACTTAGAGTGTCTACTGTACAGATCTTTTTTGCTCTGCTAGTGAGACATCTGACCAAATTTCTCTTGTAACGGATAGGTGTGAAACTGCAGAAGTGAATATATTGGCATGAAGAGGGGTTTCTTCTATACACGCTTCTACTTAGTGTGCCGTCACTTCGTCTGCTTAGTGTGACGTCAAGGAAGTTCAGTTTCTTATCATGCTCGCTTTCACCAGTGAAAGTGATCGCTGGGTGGACACTGTTAAATTGTTCTAGGAGTTCCTCCTTACTGGTGTTTTGATCTACGATAATGAAAGTGTCGTCAATGTAGCGGCAATATAAATCAAGTTTCTGAATAGGCTCCTTGAGAGGTCCATTTTCTAGCTTTGCTAGGAAGAGATCAGCTAAAATCGGGCCTAGAGGCGAGCCCATGGCTATCCCGTCTATTTGTCTATAGTAAGTGTTGTTGAAGACAAAATGTACATTCAGGGTGCATCTTAGGAGCAGTTCCCTTAGGCTATCGTTAGGCAAGCCAATGTTGATTTGTTTTTCAGATATTTGCTTGCATATAAACTCAATAGTCTCCATAAGTGGTACGTTGGTGAACAAAGATCCTACATCCAATGAGATCATATTTTTCCTACTAACATTAATATTTTCTACTTTGGAGGTGAAGTTGAAGACGTCTTTTACACTATTTCTAACCACTGATTTGTGTAAAGGTTCTAGGATTCGTACTAGCCACTTTGCGATTTTGTGGTAAGGAGAATTGTACATATCTAGAACTGGGCGTAGGGGAAGACCCGATTTATGTACTTTAGGCAAACCATACAGTCGTGGTGTAAATGATCCTGTCGGCTTAATTGAATCGTGAATTTCGGTCGTAATTATTCCTTTTTTCTTTAGATCTTTAAGGAAATTGGTCAATTGTCCTTCTACTTTTTTATTGATGTCACAATTACTAGTAATTTTCTGAAATTTGCTAGAATCGCTAAGCAGTGTTTCCATTTTTCCCATGTAATCATTTTTGTTCATGAGAACTATACCTCCTCCTTTATCTGGTTTGGTTATGGTCAGGGTTTCATCTTTTCTTAGTTTCATTAAAGAGTCTCGGTGCTGCTTGGTTAGTAGGTGATTTGTGGTACCCTTACTATTCTTGTATTGTTGGCAGCTATCAACTAGTGTGGTTTTAAACCGAGCAAGGTCCTCTAATGAGGTAGAAATCAAGTCAGTTGTTTGTGAAAATAAATTCTCAAACTGTACATCAGTATCTAATTGGTTGATTCTATGCCTACTATCACAGAATTTAGGTCCAAGAGATAAAGCTTCTAGCTGTATTACATCTAGTTCAATATTGGAAAAATTATGTACGTACCGTTTCGGGTCGAAAGGGAACTCCTTTTCTGGCTTTTGGTTTTCCAAAGTTTTCATTAATTTTGTTAAAGTTTTCTCAGATCTATTCTTGGAAATTTTCCCCACATAATCCATAAACATTGACTGAAGCTCTGAAGGAAGGTTTTTAACGGAATATTGTCTTTGAAGAAGATTCCTTTCGAAGTCGCAGATATTCATTTTTAAAGTATCAATTTGATTCGACGCATGTCTTTCAAGTGACACTCTGAAATATAGATTAACCAAAGTAATCACCAGGACATTCTACGCAGCCAATCTGGCGTTGACCTTCTCTTGTCGACCAGCGATGTCTACTCAAACGAAGGATAAGTTACCTGAGTTGGCCTCTTCCATGTGCATTTACAAATTCAGCTGCTCCTGTGGAGATAGCTATATAGGGCGTACTACCAGGCAACTTAACCAACGAATGAGTGAACATCTACCAACTTGGTACATAAAGGGCCAGAGGAAATCTATTCGGAGTTCTATATTGGCACATCTTATTGATAGCGGTCATGCAGTAGATAAATCGAAATCTTTTCGAGTTATCTATCGTATACCTCCATCATTTCCCGACGGAGTCCGTTCCCGTCTCCTATATATAGCTGAAGCCATTGGAATTCGTACATATAACCCCAATTTATGTGTACAGAAGAAATACGTGACCCCCCTATCCCTTCCATGGCCAGTTATAACTTAACTAACAATTCTTTTTATTTATTTATTTTATTTTATTATTATCCTTATTCATTTTATTTTATTTGTGTTATCATTGACCTTATTTTCACATCCATTATTTGTTTGTAATTTTCCGCCTCTTTGTATTCTTCACTATCTAATTATTTACACACATCTTATTACGTAATGATTTTAATGTTTTGTGATTACTATTCCTAGTCTATTTACCCATGTTTATTTGACCTTCTATTTCCAACGTTTAATTATTGATAAGAGTTTTGTTATTGTATTTTATTATTCTCACTATTATCAGTTCACCTGTCTTCCTACTATCAACTTGTACTTTTACCTAGAGACTTATTTTATTTCATTGTGATTATTGACTCATATTGCCTTGATTGGTTTAACATTTTCGTATAAATATTCATGTATATTAGAGTAAAGCCTGATGACGATCTAATTGAAAACAATTGTTCGCTTATATGTGTTGTTCTAATTTCCAGATATATAAAATACCAACTGTCTACCAGTACATACTGTCTGTTAATTATGAGTTTATAAGAAAGCCAAAACAAATTATAATCTTAAACTGACTAAATACCAATTTTTTTCCATACTAAACGATTAATTGATAGCATGAAAATACAGATTTATTTTTATTTCATGAACTACAAAATGAAATATATTGTAGACTTGGATTTCATTTTTCGTAATACAGTTTCGTTAAGTGTACCTCTTATTATACGAATTACTAGTGTAAACCATTTTGGTTAATACCTTGACATATAGGGTAAATAAATGAATTACATACACTAAACAATTACAACAAGCTTTGTTCTTAAGACTTTTTCTTCACAAGTGATTCAATTAATAATAATTTGATTTAAGATATTATGTTACGAAAGTTTTTTTTTATTTTAGTTTTTAATAAACACAATTGCTAATCTCCTTATAGTTAGTTTATTTCTTATCGGTCGATTATGTTTAATTATCACTAATGTATATAACAGACGATCAAGATATCTTTTACAATGTAAGATGACAAATGTCCACTTTTTAAATTAAAAAAAAGTATGGTTAATTGCAAACAGTGATAAGAATGAATTTTTATGGTTTCACATAAACAGTTAATATTAACAAAACCCTATTTAATGTTCACTCCAACAACAATGTTTTTAACACTAGATTTTATTTGAGTCAGATTTGTCTATTCATAGAACATGAAACAGAATGACTACGTTGGTTGGTGGAGGAAATTATTTCGTTTGAATCCTTCGACTATAATTTTTCAAAACTTTACATACTAAGCAAGATGATGGTGACCCGCAAACATTTAGGTTGGAAGAAGGTTTGAACCAGTCGCACAAAGGTAACTCATCAGTTTGCGAGATTATTGACTGTTCGCTTGAAGCGTGTTTGGAAGAGTAAACTGCATAATAATGATCAGAAATGATAGTGATCTTAAACAATATGTTTCAAAATCGGTTGCAGTGGGTACATGTATTTATTTCCTACATTCCGCTTCGTAATTCCACATTATCGCTTTTCCCCAATTACAATCTTATGTCTAGTTCCCAGTGTTACAAGCCGATAAACAAAATCAGCTATAGTACAAGATGCAATGCAAAAATTACAAAACCCATCGGAAAGCATAAATACCTACAAATCTGAGAGTAGAAGAGCTGTATGAGGTAGAAAACGATCCCAATGACGTCGTCTGGCAAACTCGTTAGATCTATGTAAAAAAAATAAGGAGAATAATGACATGAAAGATCAACTCCTGTTTGGCATTTTTACATATATTTGCTAACGCTTATATAATTATTATTAATAGACAATAGGAGAATACTATGGTTCGAACTGACAAATAGAGAAAAAACCTAAAAACACTAACTACAGTGAAGGGTGATGACTTTTTCTCATCTGCCTTAACTTCAGTTGTAATGAACAGAACACGGGTAGGGACAATCGGATTGTATTTAGCACAAATTTACAGTTACTTGGTAAAATAGAAAAACCATATAGTAAATCGTTAATTTGAAAAATATCAATGCATAATATCAACCTAGACTGTTCCTGTTGCAAACATTAATCCATTGTCTCACATTTCATTGTTCATGCGTTTTCTTACAAATTGCATTGTGTTGTTGCTCTTCCCCCAACTTCTGCTGCCAGACATCACGTTTTTAACTCGCGTCATATACTACTTACATCAATATAAGTAGCACGCACCACACAGTTAGTTCAGTTGAATCTCAACTGGATTTGTTAGATTATTCAATGAATATAGATTAGATGAGTAGTTATTACGTTTAAGTGTACGATTAAATCATTGAGAATAGTAACAAACTGGGGAACCGAGTCAATCACAGGTCGCTGAGAAAAAGCGTTATTCCTAAAACAATTTCTATGACTAAGTTAAATAGAAATCAGGAAAGAAACAACACTTGAGGTTAGCAATTCTGATGATAGTTAACCATAAGCTCTAGCATGAGCAGCAGTGTTTGATTAAGGAGAATGTATAAAGTTAATGCGCCTTTTAATGACATACTGCCATAAAACCTATCGATTTACTTGATCAGAGGCTGTCTTAAAGTCCAAAAATACAAGTGTGGTTGGGAGTCGATAGGTATATCAGTGTTCCAGAACATGAAGAATATCCGGTCGACAGATCCTAGATATGTGGGATTAATCACTACTCAGTCGTTAGTGAATTATAAAATCACGTTCGACAGATTGTCAAAGGTAACAAGATGGGCAAATAATAGTGATAATAGACAACAAAAATGCCATGTTAACCTACCGAATAACAGAAACTAAAGGTAGTTCAAAACAATCATATTTTATAGGTACGAAAGGGAGTAGTCCCACAACATAACACGCCATTATCCATATTACATACGAAATCGGAGCAAAAGTGAGAATGTTTTTATTGCGTAATTCACATTTTTTTGATACTTTTGAATTCATTGACCCCCATACAGTTATATGCTCTCGATTGTAAGTTTCAGTAAGGCGGGCAACCTAAAATAGTAGTAAGTAAATTCAACATATTATAAACCATCAGGGAAAAATTTCATGCATATAAAAATTTTGAGTGCTGAACAGTGGTTGACAGCATTTCAAGAATTGCTGAGACAAATTCACAAAACCAAAACCTGAAAAACCAGATAATTAGCACGGTTACTGATTATAAAATAAGATCATTTAGACTAGAAAAAAAATTCTTGGTAATCAAGCAATTAACAGACTGTTCAACTGTTATAAGCTCACGAAGATAATTAAAAACTTTGTAGACTTATTAGAAATACTTGGAATTCCCGAAAAGCATCGTCTACTTTCCGTTAATGTTACAACTGTGAAATTGAACTGATAGAATATAAGTTTCAGTGCCAACTGGATGACCTAAAAAGACCTGTATCCTAAATTTATTGTTTATTTATTTCAACACATATATATTGGTACAAAGAGGCACCAAATACATATGCGCCGCACAAATCTCATTCAATATATGTGAGGGCTGTGATACTGCCCAGGTGCCCAAACCGAAGCAGGTGATTTTCTTAGGGGGCCACTCCCCGAGCCTTCGACGTGAGGGTCTGATCCACAAGACAGTGGAGCATCGTCAGGAGATGCAGTCCCATGGAAGCCGGTGATCAACAATTAGTTCATACGCCATTTGTTCCTGCAGGATACTGGAGCCCATGTGCACCATTGGTTTGGAATCCGATTAAAGCGCCGGACATTCACTTTTCGTCCTCTCATTTTCGTAAACAACACCCCCGCCACGAGGAGGTGAGTAGGACTTTCCTGGCAGAGGCTATATATGCGTGGCCATGTGAGAGCATTTCGAGAGGGAGAGCGGACTCTCTTCACTCTCAGTCGTACCAGGGCATTTGGGAGCTTACATTTATTGACGTTTAAAATAATCTTCACAGATTGAAGTCATGAGTCAGTTGAAGCTAGACCACCATTGAAAACCTGGAAGCACTGGACGGCCGTTTCGTCCTAGTATGGGACTCCTCAGCAAATAATCGTATTTATATTTGCTTAATGCTACGTATATGTGTCATTTTACTGAGCAAGGAAAACTTGTTATGTTAACGAATTGTGTAGTCTTTTGATATCGAAAACCCAAACATAACAATAATAATTTCCCCCCATAACACCTTCACAGTACAAATAAGAAGGAATATAAAAGAACTCAATATTTCTTATGTGTTAAAATGATGTGAACCGCTACCAGGGTAATTTTCGTTAGCATACAATTATTAGATAAAGCGACAAACTACGAAACTCTTGAAACAAGTTTTAATGTTTCATAAGCATAGAGCAAAACCGCTCTCATCAACGCTCTGTAGATTCGACCTTTTACAGACAGATTGACATCAAGTAAGCTCCAAAAAATGGCCCGAATTAGCATAAGCCGCTCTGGCTTTAACTACATGAGTTGATCTCATAACTCAAGCCACCACCAGCACTTACGCAGTTACCCAGATGCACGAACTTCCCGACTACTTCTATCTGCTCATTGCCCGAGGATAGTGAAGGCCCGAGGCACTGCCAGTCTTGTAGAAGTATTTTGTACTTAGAAAGTATGAAGCACATGCCATACCTACGGACACTGACTGCCAAGTGATTAAGTATGGATTGCATGGCTAAGGTATCATCGTACAGTAAGACAATATTATTCGCCTACTCAAAATTGAAGTCTTTCTTCAGGCAACAGATCCACACTACCACTACCTACATTCATCAGAGCTCTTTCCAGAACATAGATAGCAAAGTTGAAGAGGAATGGTGAGATTTGGCAACCATGCCTGGCCCCACTGCTTGAATGGAACGATGGAGGTGGTTGTATGCCATCAATCTGACTGAAGTGTTTGTATATAGGGCTCTCAAGATGATGATAAACTTCCCATGCACACACTTCTTCAATAGACGATCCCAGGGAACAGTCCTGTCCAACGAATCGAAGGCGGCGCTAATATCATGAAACTACGATGGTTGGCCTGCAATAAATATAACGGTGTTCTAACATTTGCTAGAGGATGAAGTTATAGTCAATACATTCTTGACTAGAACGAACACTGGCCTGTAACTCGCGAATCAAACTTTCTCAGGTTCTGAATAATCTAGAAACATGAAGGAAGCCAATAGCTTGGACATGATCAGTCAGTCATCTACAACTGAAGACTACGCACATATATTCATTGGTCTAAGTTCCCTTACCTCGTTAACACAACGAGATGAATATCAAATTCATAGGACGAAAGTCCACACCATTCATATTGAATGAAACTCGCACTTAACTGATAATAAATGTACTGACCTGAAAGAATGTTGCACTGGGGAATATAAACCCCAATACTGTTCCAACTAAATGCAAATAAGACCAATTTCAAAATATCGTTGGAACTGAACTAGTATCATAAAATATTACATCGAGTTAGAGATAACGTGACTTCGCCTTCTTATCTCAACTTTTATCAGGTTCCAAATGGCATCTTTGATGCACATTATTTAGATACTAATTAGAAAATTTAATAGGAATGTTAACCTACAAAAAGTTTGATTAAACCACAAGTAATTACTTAATTACTGTATAACTTTTTTTTAAGGGAAGAGATTCTCTTGTCATTCACTTTGAAGAATTTCTCACTTATAAGAAGTATGAGTATAAACACGAAATCATTAGTTATTATGTAGAAGATGATTGCACATTAATGTGAATGTAAGACGAATAGAAAAATTTACTTTCTTAGTAAATTAATTAAAATATTGCCTAGTTAATTAAAATATACTTCAAATAGTATAAGGTCAAGTAGAATTGGTGAAAAAACTGAAGTATCATAAATTACAGTAATTTGTCAAGGATTGTAGACTAATATCGACAGTTAAATAACTTATACATACGCTTTTTCGCATTAAAAGTGTGAATATTAATTTTATACCAAGACTTCACTAACCATATACTTTTTGTAAAATAAAGTGAATGAAACTCTAACAAAACAAATTAGTGCACCAGGTTTTCATCAACTTTAGAAGTGCTATTTTACGGCTGCCATACATCATTTCGTCCTATAGATAGAACTAACTGATAGGGGGTTCGACCCTTAGGCCAATATCTAGTTACAAAATTAAGCTAATCTAAGGGACAGAAAAAAAAGTGACCTCTTCGAAAACTGTTTTTCCTTCTAAATATTCAGCAGGGTCACATTACAAGCCCAACACGGCTGTTATCATTTGATCTGTCTTCACAATCAGAATTGTTTTAAATATTAATGTTGGGAAATTAATTAATGTATAAATTGCTACGCTTTATAAGTAAATGGTTACATTATTTAAAAAAAGAAACAACGAATTAGAAATGTTTTTATGACAAAACAGTATTTCTGTACAATTATGTAATAGGAGCATCTTAAAAATATTGCCAACTGATTTTTCATTCTTGTGATAAAGAATGATAATAAATAAATAACTTTTAAAACAAAAGTACGTGAAGTAAGTTTAAATTCATAATTTATGACTGACAGATAACGTATTCAGTCAAAAACATCCAGTCAGTCAGCTACAACGCAGGATCAGGCACGTATGTGCATCGGTTCAAGTTGCAACATATCATTAGCACAACAACGTGAACAACAAATTCATAGAATCAATAATTCAATGGTAATAATATATAAAAGAAAGATCGTGTATAAAGAATATAGTACAGGAAGAAAGAATTAGTTCGTAGAAAGAAAGGTATAAAGTGATTTAAATCTCACGGTTTAAAGGAAGACAATGAGTGAATACACCCACGCCATTGTGATCGATTCTGAATCATGTCACTCAGTGTCTCCAACCATTGGTTATAATAGTCACGCGGACCCCAACCAAGTAGTCTGCATGTAACATCATGACTCAGAATAGAATTTAGTGACTTTATGGATTGATGCCACATTTCGATTTGGCCGCCCCCAATTAGTAGCTTACGAGTATCTTCTACTCTTAATGGTCACGTTTCGCAGCCGTAATGTAGAATAGAACGAACTGCTGCGCAGTATATTCGCCCCCTAATTGGTAGACGGATATTCTGTCTACACCATTTGTGTCGTAAGTTGGCAAAAGCCAAGCGAGTTTTTCGAATCCGTGCTGAGATTTCATCAGACACCAACCCATTAGGGTTGATCAGACTTCCAAGATAAGTGAAGTTGTTGACGTGTTCGACTACTTCAATCCCTATCCCTAGTTCAGGTTTTGACGCAGGCCAGTCCTGGAGCAACAACTTGCATTTAGAGGGGAACGCCGATAAGCCTGCCTGTGTTCTAGAACCTGACGAATGGTGAATATGTGGTCGATGCAGCCACGACCAGGTCTGAAGCCAGCCTGATTTTCTCGTGTTTGCAGTTCACGAGTCTTAGTTAGGCGTTCGATACTTATTGAGGCCATCATTTTAGATGCTATATTAGTCAAACTAATCTCTCTATGGTTATTACAGGATGATTTTGATCCTTTCTTATTGGGACGATCACTGTTCGCGACCGTTCGAATGGGATCATATCCAGTTCTCAGGTTTTAACTAAAATACTAGTCAACCACCATCCTTAAAAACCTCTAAAGCCAATCCATCTAGACCAGGTTTACTTTCTCGTTTCAGATTAACTATAGCCTTTTGAACTTCACTTAGAGTGGGGTAGTTGTAAAATAGCTGAAGGCCTGCTGAACTATCCCTCAAAGTGTTCCACACATCGTTCTAAACGTCTAGACTGAGAGCAAATAAGAGTGCCGTCTTGTTCCGAAACTGTCTCACTTACATTTGACTCTTTAATTCTAGTTTTTTTCATCAGTCTGAAAAGCTGTCTGGTGTTACCAATAGTCGCTGCCTTTTCCATCTATTTTGCTTTCGTTATTCATCACTGCCCACGATCGTTCCTTAGACTTTTAGTTAACTTAGATCTGACTTGTTTCCGCTCTTCATTGTGTTCAAAGCCTGATGGGATAAGTTTACAAGTCTATCAGTGCAATAAATGCCGCGGAAATCCAGTGATTTTTCGTAACCCTGTAATCCAAATCACCAATAGATGTCGCTGCTGTTTCCACAGTTGTTCTTATGTCTTCCTAAGCAACATCTGGGTCAGTCTCGTTTTCAAAATTGTCTAAGTATGACCTCAGTTGTTCCTGGAATCTACTTTTGACTTTCTCGTCACTGCCTTCGACTCTAATGGGTCTTCATAATGTGATTTTTCTGCATCCAGTGAGGCACAAGCAGATGCGTGCCCGTATTAGAGCATGGTCAGAGTTCAAGCAGGTATTCCAGAATGAGCGACAATCTTCTATTGACCCTCTCCAACGATAACTGATGGCAATATGGTCTACTCGAGTCTATCGCTGGCTTGATGTAGGGGCTAGCCATGTTAGACGGTGTCTCTCTATATGCTTAAAATTTGTGTTTGTCAAAAATAAACGACTGTTTGAGCACAGTTGCAGCAGACGATCACTATTATCTACTCGATAAGCCGGAACACCAAAATACCCGCCTAAATGTCTTTCTGATTTGTTCAAGCTACCTACTTGGACACAAAAGTCACCTACTAAAAGTACTAAGCCTGAGTGTTTAGCTTTCTGAAGGTCAGAAAGCTTTCTGTAAAATTCATCCGGGCTGCAGTCAAGTGGGAGCGTAGGCAGAAAAGACGAAAAGCAACGATGTGTCTCTATCCTTCTGAGATTTTACGGAGCCGTTTAGCCTAACAGCACATAGACGACTGTTAACGGGGATCCACTTTAATAGTGCTTGTTCTGCCCTCGTACTTAGTGCTATGCTTACACCTTCAAGTTTAACAGAACTAGTCATCGGGTCGCCAGATACACGCAGGGTGTATCTCGTTGGCTCTCCGTTTTGACGAGATGAGGTCAAGTGAATGACCACACTAGGATCTTGTGTGCGTGTTTCGGAGACACAACATGCATCAATGGTACGGGATCCTAGGGTTTTAGCCAAGGAGGCCTGCTGACCAATTTGACATAGGGTGCGTACGTTGAAGGCTCCAATGTGAACTTTGGGGCGAGGTTTCAGTAGACCTGGGACAGTGTTTTGTGCACTGGAATCGTTGGCTATGGTGACGCTTGAGAAGGAAGCCAAACGAGGAAGTTTAGAGTTGAAAGTCGAGGTAGGAGGAATGATGGGAATCGAAGAGGGAAATTGATAATGAATACTGTAGTTTTGTGTGCTTATAGAGTTATGAGGGCGATTATCACTTCCCAGTTGCCCACACTGTGGAAGGGTTCTTCTGGAGGTACCTGAAAAGGAAAGTGGATTAGAGGCGGTCTTAGTGACCTGAGAGTGTGACTGCAGTTCCCTAGAAACAACTGCTTGCGGCCGGTCACACACGACCTCTTGTGAGTAATTTTCGTGTCAACCTTATACTTGTTGGGACATTGCCGCCGGAGACGGATATCCGTGGGATAAGGCGAGGTGTGCATTCTTAAGGTCGACCTTTTGTAACCCCACCCCTCCTTGTGGGAAGGCAGCATCGCTGTTTTGCGGTTTTCTGAAGGAAACACCTTACTGCCATCACACTTCTGTAGTCAGAAGTACGACTCCACCCTCAAACCTTGGGTTTGCGCTTTGAGTCTTACTACCGTTCAACCGACCTGCCCGGCATGGTAGGACCTTGAGGAACGAATGTTCCAGGCAGTATAGTTCGTTTGATTCATCACGTTAGGCAAGCCCGACCACTACGTCGAGGTGGCAGCAATGGTCGGGACGCGATGGGAAGTAGATTTATACACCAATAGTTGTCGCAGAAACAACGTGAACCCTTCCTAAATACAAGGACAGCTATCGACTCAATCCACGATAAAAAAGCACTCAATTGCTAGGCATTTGTAAACAACTCAGTCAGTTCTTTAACCAGAAGATCGCTGCAATTGTTAAAGGAGGCCGGAGGTAAGTCAACTGGGCATGGCGACTTGTGATGCCTTGGGAGTTCCTTGCAGACTTTCGCCTCGTTAGGTGGATCAGTTGTTAATTATATTACGAACGTTGGATATCGGCAAAATATACAACGGTCATATAAAGTGAAGCTATACATAAAGAAAAGATAAAAACTGGGGCCAAAGGAGTACACATGAATAAATATAAAGTCACAAACTAACCTCATTGATGAGTAGATTGTCATTAACTTTAATATCAATATTGATGGGGGTATTTGGAAACTTATTAAACAAGTCCTCTAGTCGTGGAATTTTATATGATGAGGGAGACTCCGCAATACAAAAGGAACCTGGCTGGGGTAGAGATAAGAAATCACAGTTAGTTAAATAATTATTGATGTAGGAAATTCAGATGTTAACCGATGCAGAAGAGGTCAACAAAAAACCGAAAACATGATAATGACTAGTTCAAGTCCATGCAAATTTAAAGTTGTATGATAAGAATTTATTGGTGAAAATCTGTTATGCAACATACCTCAATTAACGAAGCCTTATTACTACTTTTGATAGAGTCAGGAATGCTACTTTTGTATGTATTTAAAGCAATTAAACATTGATACAATCGCATCTCGAAAATAGTGTAGGACACGCATACAAAGAGACAATGTGGAGAAACAAGGGAGAAAATAGTAGCAAATCAATGAGGGAGTGGACGGAAGACACAGTTATATATAAACGAAAAGACTTTCAGTTATGGAAGCTCATTTAACTTTTATGAATGATGTGAAAGAAAACAATAGCGCGATCATCACATTCTCTTGTTCTGAGACATCCGATAACAACTCAAGCTCCTGTGTTGCACCGTTTCTAAAACCACGGCCAAGGTGTGATAGATCGACAGATCTCCGTCCTACAGAGATTTTTCCATACCCCTGTGCCATGTCATAAACTGACTACCTCTCTAATTTATAAACCTAACTTCAGGATTAGCAAAGAATGCACAATTTGGAAGTCACCAGCGTATCATTCACAGAACATGAATAAGCCACTAAAGTCAGTGGTTTTAGTGCAACCGATTGAATTATCATCCCTACGTTCGAACACACATTGCCAAATATCAGTATTTCTAACACGGTGTTTCTACAGGACGTCAGAGCCAACGATGATTGAACAGTCATCGAGAATCTTCCGTTCGATGAGGCTAGGTTTCGCCCTCATCCCGCAACTAGCACTCATAGATCTACCTGGATACATGAGACTTTCGACTATTTATAACGGTTTACTGCGAATGGGAGTTGCTTGTTGTTTTCGGTAACTTAATCAACAGGCTCTACAGTTGTGACCTCACAATTATGATATTTTACAAAGGTCAAAATAAGGCATGTATTAATGAATTTGACAATCTTATGTGTTAAAAATGATCGTTTTTAATTATTGGTTCTCTTATTATAATACGTCTATTTTAGTGGTCAGCTGACGTGGATTTAAAGTGACAGAAAACAACCGGGTAGGTAATTAAGAATTTTATTAATAAAAATGACCGGAATACCTTGCCGATTTTCGAAATCCATGCACGGTATTGAAATAGAATATGTTGTGACAGAAAGCACAGAATCTTCTCGGCATTAATTAAAAGTACAAACACGTCACAGCATATGGATATTACACAGTCATTTATGAGTCCTTATTGCTATACCACACAAGTCCACAACTACATCTTATAACTACCAAGTGAGATCACATCAGTAGTACCCCCCTACTTTTAATCAAACTATATACACACTGATGTTTAAGCACGTTAAAAACACTCAACTGCAGAAACTACTGTGAACTCATGGAAGAAATGAACCGCTTAAACACGGTATATAGCTTTTTATACTCCTAAGGGATCCTCAGGACTTTTACTCATTTCCAGTACGTAAAACGCCTTCTATTTATAGAGAAGCATGTAGTTGGAAGACCCTGAATAGTTACGAAATTATCTTGAAAGAACAACAATTTAGTTTGTTTAATCATCACAATACACTAAAGAACATTGATATTAGATCTAACAATAAAAGGCTGGGTTGATATCAATTGAAAAATCAAAAAACGACACAGCAAAAATGACTTTATACCTGGGGTGAATTGAACTTCAATTACTTTAAGGTATGTAGGTAATTCTTCGTATGAAAATTCTTTCACTAAACCCGACACGCCAGTAGAACGATCTAGCGTATCATCATGAAATACGACAACCTGATTATCTTTCGTGATATGACAATCAGTCTCGAGCATATTTGTGCCAACAAGCAAAGAACTAGGTGTGATTAACGTACAATTATGAGAAATGTTCATTCATACCTACTGAAAGCTTCTAAAGTATTTTCAATCTGTTCTCCTGAACCACCCCGATGACTAATATGAGAAGCTTCGAAAGGAAGCCGCTTTCTTCTGAGAAATATGATCGGTCTCCTTAGCAGAATATATGAAGTGAAAGAGTAAGCCACAAAAAGTGTCGCGATGAAACCCAGCATGTTTGAATACCCTAGTACACACCTACATTCGAAGTGAACTCACAATTTGAAGGTAAGGTGAAATAGGTCGTGCAAACAAAAATAGGAACCTCAATGTCTGTAAATCTTAGAACCAACCCTAAACAAGGCAAGATATTTTCAGTTTGCAATTACATGCTGAAGATTTATCGAGGATATGACCGGTAGATTTCAAAAAGGGTGCATATGTTGAACCGTAACTACTTTAGGCGACCGATCCAAATGATCTATCTTGAACTTAATGTTCGGTAGATTACTTTTCTTTTTTAATTTTACCCGAATTAATAGTTGACTGTGCTTTCGCCTCAGCCTACTATTCGGATTCCCAGTTTTTTCACGTCAATGTTAACCTACTAATCCTGATGAACTTGGAAATCAACCCATAAGGAGAGCACACTAACATTGACCTTAATTGAATTTCTGATTTAAACTAAAAATAATACCGGAATCAGCACTGATTCAATATTGATGTTTATAAATACAAAATGCTTGTACTACTTATATGTCAAACTACACATCTTACTACGACTTATTAAAATATTTCTACATGGAATCATTCTTAACTGTTATAATCCTACTTTGTTCAACTATTAATCTCCACGTAGATTACTATTTTTCGCGTTTTTAGAATAAAACCAAACATTTCGAAAATACTCTATGAAAATTTTCTCGGCCAGTTGCTGCCACTCTCATTCTGATTTATCTTTCAGCTTGTCAACATAAGGAGGATTCCCACCATTCTTCTGGTAACCTCCGAGGCGCGACAATCCCACTAAATATGTAACCGAATTAACGTCACGTTGATTTTGGTGGGAGAGTTGTGTTGTGGTACAGGTCCTAATAACACAATCCTCAAAGCTGAATACGAGGCAACTGGGAAGATATATATTCAACATTTGACGCAGATAAAAACAAAACGACGGAGAAGGCGAGAAGAAAAAATTCAATTGAATCTAATCGAGTGGCATGGCTCATCCTCACACGCGTGGTCGCTATGTATAGCTTCCTTTTGCTCATACTAAATATATTTTTCCATCTCCAGAATGAATGTTTTCTCCGTTATATATTGGTAATTGTTGCGATCCGACCTGTCGCTGTAGACAGTGATGTGACTTTCGCGTAAGAACTTATAGATTAGGCAGCTACAAAATGAAAAATCTACAATTTTAGAATTAGGCCTATTATTAGAGCAGTACGGATAACGAGATGGACCATACTCCTACAAACCTTCAAGTTACTGACCGGTAACACTGCTTTCTATATACTCAAAAATGATGGCGTCCCAGATACGCGGCGTTGTACATGATTATTTATCATCCATAAACTTCTCACCTCGACAGAACGGTTTCAGAAAGAGTCACTCTTGTATAACCAACCTGCTGACTGCAGTGTACATTTGGACAACCATACTTGGTCGCAAGTGGAAGGATGACATTATCCAGTGTCAGTTTAGAAAGGACATGAGGCTTGATGGCCCGTGTTAGTCCTGGTAATGGTGGTCTCTCAGTTGATCCAACTGTTTTTGATAGAGTCGACGGATGGAGCCTCAATCACGTGCTGAGGTAATGAATTCCAATCGTTGATTTGATGGGAAAATCGATAGTCAGCTGTGCAGTAGTCTTTAGGTCTTGGCTAACGATGACTCCAAAGTCATTGTGTCTGGACAACAGGTAGCTCAGTGTTATTCATCATGTATGTATCTGTACTTCGATGACCGACATGCATCTTAACACAATTGGAAGTATTTATTGGCAACTACCAGGTTTGAGATCATTCAGATAATTTCTCCAGGTCATTTTCGAGTTCTAAGCTATCACCCTTACATCGTATCATTCCCCATATCTTGACATCGTCAGCATATAGCAAGACCGATGATGATAGGAGACGAGGAAGATCATTTACATAAAAGAGAAATAGCACCGGCCGCAAAACTGTACTCTGAGGCACGCCACTAAGCACATTTTCCCAGTCATATAACTTTGAGTTCACCCGTACTTTTTGTAGGCGCCCAACTAGGAAGTCTTTTATCCACATAAGTAGATTAGCTCCAATTCCGACATTTCTTAGCTCATATAACAACCGGTTGTGTGGAACTTTGTCAAAAGCTTCACTGGAGTCAATGTAGACTATGTCTACATGTAACTTTTGGTCCTTAATAGCTCACCAGCTTTCACGAGCAGTTAATAAGCTAGTGAGACAAGAATAACCTATTCTGAAACCGTGCTGCTTCTCTGAAAAGATCCGGTTTTCATCGATACACTTAAACAGCTTTTTCCGAATAATCCTTTCTGAGATTTTAACAACCACACTAGTTAGGCTAACGGTGTGGTAATTCTCAGGTTTATGTTTCGTACCTGTTTTGAAGACAGGACATACTATAGCGTTCTAACAGTCTTTTGGTAAATGATCCTGCGTTTCGGATAGATTAAAGCATATACTCAAGGGTTTCGCAACGAAGTCAGATAATTTATTTAGTGGTTTAGAATGCAATTCATTGGGCCCCGTGGATTTACCTATGTCAAGCTTATTTAGTGGACCAAAGTAATCGAGTTCGTTAATGGTCACGCTATCCAGTATATGTGTGGGGGATATGTATGCGCTGATGGGAAGGGTGCGTCTGTGGTGTATATATTGCTAAAGTAGTTTGAGAACACTTGAGCCATGCCAAAGTCTTCCTCCACTAATAACGTGGTGGTACTGTCTCCACATACTGCAGGAATATTTCCTCTTCTTTTGTACTTTGGTTTATATAGAAATACAAGCGATTAGGACATTCTATGGATTCCTTGAAAAATTTTTCTTCGTAAAACTTTCTGGACTTACAGAGGGTCGAGGCACAGGTATTCCGAGCTTTTCGATACTGAGATTTTGTCTCATTAGTCCCCAGTAACCCAAATTTATCCCACATTTTTCTTCTCTTACGGAGAAGGATTCGGACCTCCCTACTGAACTATGGTGGGGAGTTTCTCGGCCCCCTTGGCATAGTTCAAGGGATGTGGGGTGCGGTAACCTTTAGGTATAAATTTTGAAATGAGTCCCAGGCCGTTTCGATTGAGGACTCTGGGTCTGTTGTCCAATCTACTAACGATGCTGAGTGCATGATATCTGGTATGTTCGCTTTCCAGACGTTAGGTTTGGATTGGACTGGCGCGTGCTCGTGACTGACAGTTATATGGAAGTCGAAAGTTAAAACTGTGTGATTACTTTTACCTAGGGGTGGCATATAATGGACGTTCTCAATGTCATCCTCATAGTGATTCAATATAAGATATAATAGGGATGATTCAGAGTCCGGGTCTGTTATGACCTTGAATCGCTTTTACCCCGTTGATACTTGTTATGACTTCACCTTGATCTGTCTAGATTTAACTATGACCTTGACGCGATAGGGTGAGCGGCTTAACCTTGAAATCTATCACGCGTGAGTTCGAGTTGGGGTAGAGAGATAACTATTCTAGAACCTGATTGGTTGGCAAGCACGCAAGCGAGAGAAGACAAGACAGGTGGAACACTGAACTCTGGATTCTCTGAATTCGGATTAATACAAAAATGTACATGAATAAATAAGTGAATATCTTGACTACGACGTACAATAATTTGGAAAAATACAGTTATGCCCGAAACAGGGAATTAGAGTAGAAAATACAGTGCAAAATATTATCTTTAAATTACAATATTTTCGGAACCAAAAAGAGTATGCTAGTGAATGATACATAGAACGAAAGCTCGTGTTATGTAGAATAAGATAGGGACAAAAATAAATATAAGTGTTTTACAGGGTTTGAATGAAATGCAATAACGTCCCAAGAAAATAGCTTTCGTGATTGTCTGGGCTTCTTAATTTCCCGTTCATAACACCTTCCCCCTTTAAAAAAAAGAAAAAAAAATATGGTTAGTTACTATATACAGGTAAGTGCTGAGATATCATCATTGATATCTTCCTTCGGAAAAGTATGTTCTCCTCTTTGGGTCTACCTGTAGAATATCTGGTCTTCTGCGTTCCCGTGATGCTTTTCTCACGACCAATATGGGGGCAGCCCACGATGAATAATTTACTGGCTCAATGACACCTAGTGCTTCTAACCTGTCCAATTCTTGGTCAACGACTGACAGAGCAGCATAAGGCACTGGTCGTTTCGGTCTGAAAATGGGTTTTGCATTTTCCTTTAGTGATAAAGATACTTTGGTGAATTTACAACAACCCAGTTTGTTTTGAAATACACATGCATGCTTTTGTCGAAGATGATTTATGTAAGATACAGACGACAATTGAGAGGAAACAGAAGACTTTGATGTAGACATAACATTAGAATGAAGTACATGAGACTTCGAAATTTCACCAGCGCATACTTTGTCTGAAGTCTTCGATTTGGAAATTTTATGAGAAGGTAATGAATCGGCGGTATTAGATTTGACATGGTGAGAACAAATAACATTTGAATTGTTTGATTCAGAAAGATCATAAGAACATGTTACATCAGGAGCACTTAATTCATTAATATCCAGAGAGGATGATTCGTTGGAGGCATTTAATTTAGAAATATCATTAGGGATTTGGATAGACTCATAGGAAACATTATGGGAACATACCTCATCTAATAATTTATTCAAAGTATCAACATGAGCAATCCAATCTAATCCCAATAGATCTAAATCGTGTCGATTTGTTAGATAACAAACATCTGTAAATTTACTTCCCATGAGTTGAACATTGCATAGAACCTCTCCTGTTAACTTTACTATGTCTCCTGAAGCATTTCGGGCGACATGTTCCGTCGGTCGGATGCGTGGGCATCCTAACTTGTGCCATGTGTTCTTTGAAATCAATGTGACATCAGAAGCAGTGTCCAACTGAAGTCGTATAAGTTTTTCATTTACTAATAAATTTACAAATTTCCGCCTGCTTTTAAATCCAACTTTAAAGGTTGCAAACGTGGTTTTAATTTGACTGTTTGATCGTTGATTTGAATTTTCACTACGACGTTTGGTCTTGCGCTTATTTGACGAACAATGACCGTCTTTGTGGCCAATGCGATGGCATTTGCGGCA